GCTATATCTACACTATGGACCTTACAGCAGCTATGCCGCTGTAAAGTGTCCCGTATAGCCACTGTATGGTGATGGGAGAGAGCTCTCCTGCATAATTAAACCACCCCAATGAGCAGCGGTAGCTATGTCAGCAGGAGAGCATCTCCCACTGACATAGCGCTGTACACACCGGCGCTTTTGTCCGTCGGGGGGTGTTTTTTTTCCACACCCCTGAGCGACAGAAGTTTTACCAACAAAAGTGCTCATGTAGACAAAGCCTTAGTTACAACGAATAGTGGAGATGTTGGCTGCTACAGAGAGGCAATTTGTTTAACTTTGGCTCTGGAAATGACAAGCTTTAGGTGTAGAGTGCTTTATTCTGAATGACAAACTTATCACACTAACTTAAAAAATCTGGTTCTTCGTGCCTAGCTGAGGGCTTTAGTCTTACAATGTTAAGACCCACGACATCCATTATGTGATTTTCAAAAGTACCTACATGTCTAACTCTCCACCTATCTACATCTTTAGGCACCTAAATACCTTTAAAATTCTGGCAGCAAATACAGAAGTACTCTTCTGACAAGCTTTAGCAACTTGTGATGCCACAGATGTATGAAAGTGGGTTTAAGAGCAGACAGTCACAGTCAGAGTTTGCGGTGTAAGTGTAAGATCTCTGTATTCTTGTGCCCTCTACAGGATAAACTTCCTACAGCCTCAATTTCTCACCAATTCTTATTTCAACCCACAAGGTTTTCAGCGTACAAAACTGAATTAAATGGAAACATGAGAAATAAAGCATTACTACAAGTTACAGATGCCAATGTAATTGTAACCAAAAAATGCATCAAAACCCAACAAGTTTCAGAAGATCAGGTATAACCACACACTTGTCAGGAGGTTTGAGCACTTTACCTTAAGCCTTATAGAGTCCAGCAGAGTTATGAATTTAAGCTCCCACACTCATCTTTTGAAGGTGTTGTGGAGGTTTCCTTTCCGTCGAGGTCTTCATAAAGACACTGGATTTATGGCTTATTACTCCAATCTGTAACCCACTAACCCTCCTTTTTTGTCCTATGACTGCAGAGGTGTTAACAGGCCGCTTCACCGGTCTCTTAAGCAGTCATGTAGACAAGCCCCAAGTTGATGCAACTTATGTCGCTCAGGGGTGTGAAAAAGCCACCCCCCTGAGCGACGTAAGTTACATCGACTTCAAGCAGTGTCTACACTGTGCTATGTCGGTGGGAAACTCTCTTCCGTCAGCATAGCTTCCGCCTCTCATTGAGCTGGAGTAATTATGCTGACAGGAGAACACTCTCCATAAGCATCAGTTCATCTGTGCTGATGTTGCCTGGTAGCGTAGACTAGCCCTTAGAATGTGTGTTAACTACCTAAGCTAAACAAACTGTTCCACCTTGTATTTAGCTGTGATACTCTACCTTTCCCAGATCCATATAGCTCGAAAGCTTGTCTCTCTCAACAACAGAAGTTGGTCCAGTAAAAGATATTGCCTCACCCATCTTAAACTTTATAGTTTAATAGTAACTATTTAAATTGTGGTAGCACCTAAAACTCGCTAAACACTTTCCAAATAAGCATACTACAATTATTTGAATAGTTAGCGCAATTCATTTTCTATACAGATATTCCCTTCAAATACAGATTTTTAAAGCTGTGAATGGGCAAAAAAAGGTGATGTAGGAGAAGACAGACAAGAGAACCAAGATGTATTGTGAGAAAGCACTGACCTAGCAATCAGAGACGACCCAGGCCTGCTGATAGTGGGGGGAGGAGGGGCAGAGTGAGGGCAGTTGGCTTCAGCAGTGTAGACAAGCAGCAAATTTAGGGGGTATGTGACCCCGCATGTGCCCCTCCCCAATGCGTCCCCTCTGCTAGCAACACTTCTACAACAGGCTCCTTCAGCAGATGTTGGTCTCAGTGAAATACCTTTTATCATTTATTTTCTAGTTCAACCCTACGCTTTATTACGCTCATTTGAAAACACAAAACTTGTCACCCACCAACTTATTTTTTATCTTCAGTATTTAATCGTTTTAATCTTTGATAAAATAGCTACAGATCAATGGTTACTATCAAAATACCAAGCTGTACTACATGCAAGACCACTATAGACGTCTAACAGTTACTTACCACAGTCCTACCTGTATCAAGTAGCCTAACTCCAAAACCTGGACTGGTTGGTTAACCTTCAATGGACTGCAGAAATGTGTGTCAATGGCAGATCCTGTAGAAAAATAAATAAATCTACAATTAATCTGTTTGCATTTTGCCCCAAGTGAATTGTTCCACAGCTATAGCTTTACTGTGCAAAAAGTAGTATAGCAATATGTATGTAGGCTTTAGTGAGTTAAATGTAACTGACATGCACTGTTCAATTGGCTTCCACTCCCCACCCCGGTCCCCTGTTATGAAAATCTTACAACTGACAACAAGACCGTCAGTTAGTTGCCACTTTTATGTCAATTTTAAGGACAGGCTGAAATCCTCCTCCCTTATTCGATATACCAGGATGTGTTTGTAATTACAAAGGAATTGTCATACCAGATCAGACCCATCATGCATTAAGTGTAACATCGTGGCTCAGACAGGGGCCAACGCTAGATGCTTCAGAGGAAGATGCAAAAAACCCCCTCCTAATACCTAGTAGTTCAAGATTGGTTCAAATTCTGAAGCATGAAGGTTAACATCTCTTACAAAATTTGATAGCATTATCCATTAAAACTTCGGATATTCTTGTCCATTAATATCCAATCCCTTTTTGAATCTTGCTACTTTTTTTGGTCAATGGCATCCTGTGGCAATGAGTTCTACAGTCTAATTATACATTGTGTGAAGAGTACTTCCTTTTATAGGTTTTGAACTTACCACATTTTAATTTCACTTAAAGTCTTTGTTTCTATGAAATAAAGCAGAAGCTCCTGATCTACCGTCTAATACCATTCTTTTTATATACTTCTCTCACGCCTCCTTTTATCTAGTCTTTTCCAAGGTAAATCCCAATCCTTTCAATCTCCTCATACAAGAGTTTTTTTGAAGCAGCTAATCGTTTTCATCTCCCTTCTCTGACCACCCCTTAATTCTGAAATAGCCTTTTTCAGGCTAGGTCTACACTACAACGGGGTTCCGACCTAAGATACGCAACTTCAGCTACGTGAATACCGTAGCTGAAGTTGCGTATTTTAGGTCGGCTTACCTGGTGGTGAGGACGGGGGAAAGCCGACCGCTGCTGCGCTGCCGCCGACTCCGCTGCCGCCTCTTGCCGAGGTGGATTTCTGGAGTCGACGGCAGAGCGATCAGGGATCGATTTTACCGCGTCCTCACGAGACGCGGTAAGTCGATCCCCGATAAACCGATTGCTACCCGCCGGATCGGCGGGTAGTGAAGACGTAGCCTGAGATTGATTCCAAGACCAGAAGGGACCACTGTCATCATGTAGGCTGACCTCTTATATAATACAGGCCACAGAATTTCCACAAAACAATTCCTAGAGCAGATCTTTTAGAAAAGCATTCAATCATGATTTAAAAATGGTCAGTGATGGACAACCCACCATGACACTTGGTAAATTGTTCCAATGGTTAATTGCTTACACTGTTAATGTACGTCTTATTTCCAATCTGAATTTGTCTAGCTTAAACTTCCAGCCATTTGATTGTGTTGTACCTTTCTCTGACAATTTGAAGAGCCCATTATCAAGTATTTGTTACTCATGTAGATACTTACAGACTGCAATTAAATCACCCCTTATCCTTCTTTTTGTTAAGCAAAACAGATTGACCTCCTTGAGTCTATCACAATAAGCATGTTTTTTAATCCGCCAATTATTGTTGTGGCTCTTCTCTGAACCCTCTCTAATTTTTCAAAAATGCTTCTTGAATTGTGGCACCAGAACTGGACACAGTATTCCAGCAGTGGTCATGTCAGTGCCAAATACAGGAGGTAAAATAACCTCCCTACTCCTACTTGAGATTCCCAATTATGCATCTAAGGTCACATTTGGCTCTTTTGGCCACAGCTTTGCACTGGGAGCTCACGTTCTACTGGATTATCTCAGATGACCCCTCAAATCTTCTTCAGAGTCATTGCTTCCAAGGATAGCATCCCGCATCCTATAAATATGGCCTAAATTCTTTGTTCCTAGATGAATGACCTTACCTTTGGCTGTGTTAAAAAGCATATTGCGTGCTTGCGCACAGATACCCAAGTCAGCCAGATTACTCTGCATTAATGCCCTGCCCACTTCATTATTTGCCACTCCTCAATATTGTGAACTTCAGTGATGATTTTATGTTTTCTTCCAGGTCACTGATAATGTTAAACAACATGGGGCCAAGAACAAATCCCTGCAGGACGTGACATGAAACACACCTGCTTTATGAGGATTCCTCATTTAGAATTCTATTTTGAGACCTAGCAGTTAGCCTGCTGTTGATCCATTGAATGTGTACCATGTTCATTTTATATCCTTCTAGTTTTTTTTTTAATCAAAACATCGTGCAGTACCAAATCAAATGCCTTAAAGAAGTCGTAATACATTACATCAGCCATTACCATTAGCAACCAAACTTGTCATAAAAAAAAAAAAAAAAAGGGTGGGGCAACCAGTCCTACACATGCTCTAGACAAGGCCACACCACTGAGTTATATGATGGCATAATATGCTCCACCCCATTCTTTATCTATCCTAACATCTTGTTGGATAGACAAATACAAGCCTACCCAACTGGGTGAATCAACAATACATTTATAAAAAAAATTTTTTTTAAAGGGTGAAGAATAAGACTTAAGAACATAATTTTAGTTTAAGGAACTTCACGTTATCACATCACGTGCTTGGGTCAACAATGTTTAAATGGGTAACGGTTATCAAAAATCTGACAAGTATTTCCTAGTACACATTTTATTTAATTAATTACACAAGCTACAATCTGATCTTGTATATTTAAAAAAGTAAAAAAAAAAAAAACAAATCAGTTATTAGCAAGTTCTAGTCCCACCTCTGAGGAAATTCTATGCATAGAAATGCCAATCAACTCCACAGGAGTCCTGCATATAGGACAGGCATGTTGGTTTCCTAATTAGCAATGGTTGAAGTATAATGTAAAAATCTGAGTTAAATGCATTTACCTTCAATTTGTTCTGTTAATAGATTCCTTAATAAGTCTTGTTTTGACCATAAATGGTTTTAAAGAATACTTTCTTCTCTACCATAAGTGTAACTGCCACATACCAGTAAAAGGGCATTTATAAAATTCAGGTGCAAGACAGCTATAGTCCCATACAAAAGATCTGCAAAAACATGAGAGAAAAAATAAGAGTCCTGAAAAACACACAGGATGATTTCTATTACCTTTTCTTGCTTAGAAAACATGTTCAATTAGTGGTTTTTGGGGCAACTATTTATTCTCTATTCCAAATCTCACACCCTAAACATCCCCATTTCAAGGCCTCTTTCCTATAGAAGCCCTTATCTCGTAAGGCAGATATTGCTCCAAGACTTTATATTTTAGGCAAAGGAAACAAGCTCCAAAAATGAAAACCTTTTTTTATTTCCATTATGGTACTGCCTAAGGCCCCCAATTGGGGTTGGGACCCATTGTGGAGAACACTGTAAAAATACAGAAAAGCCAATTCCTGCCTTGAAGTACTTACAATCTAATGATAGACAGATGAAGGGTCGGGTAATAGGGATACAACACACCAGTGAATGAGCATGGTGAAGAAATGACACTACTGTTACATGTAGCATAGCCTTTTTTAAAAAATTGAGACTAGAAGTAAAAAAGGGGAAGAAAAAAAGTCACAGCTTGTCACCTGCCTGGCCATGATCAGTAAGCAAGGTTTTGTAGGCATCGTGACAGAGCAAATTCTAAGGAGTAATTTGAAGAAGGATAAGGATGAGATTGGATGATCCCCCCCCATGCATAAGGGACAACACGGAAGAAAATGCAGAGGCATTTAAGGAACTAATTGTTGGACATTAAAGGCTAGAAACAGTGGCAGCAGTAGAAGTTCTGATTAACAGATTGGATCAATGGGGGGGGGGGGGAGGGGCGCTATGTTGTGACAAACTTTAATTTTATTTATACTCTGATACAATCCCGCCTTAGAGATCATCAGGTGATATGCATTTGCTCTAAGGGGCTGTAGGATGTGTAACTCACTCCTAGTCTAAAATAATTCTCCACTCATTGCTATTTTTAAATTGAACTTTAGAAAAGGAAAGAGAAGCTCTAAAGATTTAGTATAAATATGGGACCAACACTGGTTCTCACTTTGCATTAGATCACTCTTAACTTGGTTTTACAATTGGCACATTGCAGTTTTATTGTTTCAAATTGTTTCAAAAGGTCGATGGACTGAAATTCATTTTGTTCAGTGCACTGGCAAAGGTGCATTAAAATAATTAGTTTACCCTTTAAATAAAAAGTTATGAAATGCTTTGCCGTTTTCTGCAAAACACAAATATACTCACAGTTTGCTGACCACATTACTTCATACTGGCTCTTACAGAACTGTAATGCTCTCCACAGAGAAACTGTATCTTCTCTCCAGCTGCTTCAGCAATATTCGTTAACTATAAGGCAAGCAAAAGCCTGCACTTACAGGGACACACGCGCGCACACACATTTTTCAGAAGAAAAGTGATATAGCTCTTTTTGTGATGGTTGTAATTTTTTGGAATGGTTCTTCAGTTTTCCAATTTTTTTAAGTTAGAGTTATTTGTAGCTTTTTCTTTTTTCTTTTTTTTTAAATGTTGAACCATTCCATATTATATCTTTATTGCAAAAAGTCAACATGCATCTTAGAAATTCAGATTGTAATCAATAAAACAAACATTACATATATGAATTTAAATGTATAAACAGTTAGAAATTCAACAATATCTCCTATTATACTATTACACAAGTTCACAATTTTGTAAAAACTATAGTACAAGTTTACTATACATCGAGAGGAACTTATATTCCTTTTCACATGATTTTGTTAAAAACTGTTGAAACATTTTCATCATAAATGGGCAAGTGTTTTCAAATGAATCTTTTCAGCTCATGGGCTTTGTGATGCTTAAGAACTTAATTTGATGATAAAGAAATGAAGAATAATTCTTCATACCAAGGTTTAATGTTTAGCATATACAGTTGTATTGTCTGTAAACTAGGCTTTAATTTGGTAACATTTTATTTTAAATTTCCTATACATATGTTGCTTGGTATTCATATATAGATATAGTACTGATTAGGAATTAAGTCAACTGTACTTTCTGAAGGTGTACATTATAATTTCATAATAAAAATAAAATGTTACCATAAAAAAATAAAATGGGCACTCTCAGTTGCCTACTTAAAAATAAACAATTTAGTATTACCTACTAAGCCCTAAAATACAACACAGGGAAATCCTCTAGCTTTGGCAAAATGAAGGTCACTTTCAAACAGCTTTCCCACTCCTTAAATACCAGAATTAAGTCAATTACTGTTATATTATTGGGAATATAAGTGATAGGCAGCATAATAGCATGTTTTAAATACACAAGCTAAGTTCAGAGGCACAACTCACTTTTGTGCTTCAATGCTTAGAAATCATGTTTGGGATGTCACTTGAGGATTTATGTAAGGCTACCAATGTGTATACCAAAAGAAAATGTTATATAAATCTCTCCAAAGCCCATTAAATAAATCTTCCTCCCTTGCCTCTCGCCTATCTCACCCAACTAAAAAAGCCAATACATATGAGCAAGGGCAAAAGTGTCTCTCAACAAAGTGTGCCGATAAGATGTGTCCTTTTAGAGCTAAAACCATATGAAAAGGAAACCCCATTCTGTTTAACTGTGTCAAAGGCTACTGAAATTTCTCTTACAGCTTCATTCGTTCACTGTAATCTTCAGTTTCCAAATACAAAAATACAACAATTCTTATTGAAATCTATACGCTGGTAGTTTTAGTACACAAAAAGCAAAATATTTACAAAATTATACAGTTTAAGAAAAAACTCTGTACAAAAAAAATATATAAATCCTTTGTTCCCTCTATCATTTTTTAAACCGTCAGGACTCAAACATCTGCTGTAATGGATCTTTCAAAATATACACTGAGCCACAGACATTAAGAAAATATTAGAGATGGTGGGAGAAGAGCAAGGATTATTCTTCTAGGTTCAAAGTATTAATGTTTTTTCATCATTCCTTCATAAATTTAATTTAAACTCAGCATTAGTAGGAATGCAGTATTTAACTAGAAAATGGAAGTCTTAATATGAAGGGGGAAAATATTGAAGGACATATTCCCTCCAACTGACACCGAAACTTAAAGCGATAAAGTTTTGGCTTCTTTTACATATTACCACAGCAAAAGGATATTCAAATGGAGAGGAAGAGTACAAGGGGCAACTTGAAAGAACACGACTTCAAGTAACTAGCTATGTTCAGCCTAAATTAAAATTTCTGGTACATGTTGTATTTATTTTGAATCAGGAACCAGTTGCCAAATACTCTGGTGTGCTAAATATCTGAAAGCAATATATGATTTCTAAAGCCAAGAATGTATGCATTTGGTACATGTATATAACAAGCTGTTTAGAATCCCAGCAGTTGGTAAGAGTGTTTGCTCTGCTCCTTCAAACTGACATTCAGAATGCAAAGACACTATTTTACATGGCTACTTACATAACAGATAACTCCAACTGTACAAAGCGTACAGTACAGATGCCTACAGAGTGAAGGAAAGCCTACTGGATAATGTATTTATGCTCACGAATAGCAAGACCCACATAACAGAGTTATGAAGATCTATGGCTCTTGAGGGTCTAAACTTCTTAGCCCCATTTCTACCAAAATCACCATCATTTCTTTTTTGGTGTTTTTTTGTTTTAAAGTGGTATAAAGACAAAGGCAATTGAAAATTTCATAGTGTCTGTCTTACCTGCTTTTAAACTAAACTGCACTTTAAGATATAAATACAAATAGTTTTCCTAAAGTGAGTTTTAAACACTAGTCTTAAGAATCATATCACTTAAAGTGCTGGTTTAGTATAATAGGATATCGACCTTCCATGGGCCAAAAAACAATAAAACTTGCTCTGAACACTGTATGGGTTTGGCCCGAATATTAATAAAAGTGAGAGACTTGGTCACATTGCGGAGGTGGGAGAAGAGGGTTCTCATGGTTGATTGTTTTAGAACTCTACACAGTTTAACAGGATTGACATTTACCAATACTGACAATGCAATAAATCAACAGCCTGGATTAAGCTTGAATCTTGTATCCAAACTGTAAGAAGGAATTGACACTGACAGTGAAAGAATGGAAACAATATGCTAATGACACAGATATCAGTGTCACTGCTAATGTTTCACAGTGAAACAGGATTTAAAGCAATTTACAGTGAACTAGTACCAGGCGGTATCATACTAATACCCTGTTAAAGTATGCAAGAGGAAACAGAAGACAAAACACTAGAATGCAGAAAAGTTGGGGTCTTCTACACTGAAGTTGTGTGTGGCTCTCAAGACAGGTCTTGAAGCAAAAAATGAATTCAGACACAAATATTTCCTACAATAGCTGACTTCACATGTAATAAAATGCTACCCTTTTTGAGTTAGCAAACATGAAGCAATTGACATTTAATGAAAATGTGTCTGCAGCTCTCTCCTGCAACCCTATAATATTACTAAATAAAACCTGTAACATTTTTTCATTCATATCTAATAAATCAAAGCATTAAAAAACAAGATAATACAGGTGGTGTGAAAAAGGGGCTTGACAATATTGATAAGTTTCTTCTTTATAGGAGGACTACCACCACTGATGATCTTTATAACTCTGTAAAAAGTCATTGGGCCTTTGGCTGACCTAGTATCACAGCTAAGTATCTGACATGTTCATATCACAAACTTGTTCTCACTTGAAATCTACTGTGTGTTTTGAAAAGTAAAATAAAATAAAAATTTTTGGCTCATCAACTTTCTTAAATAAATTTTTAAAAGTTGTAGTTCAAACTATATTCCTAAAACTATACAATTCCAAATCAAGTTTCATCTTCTCCAAGAACGGGATTCATCTTCATCTTCATCATCATCGTCATCATCTTCGTGCAAAAATAAATCTGAGGTTTCAGTCTCCTGGATGAAGACAAAATTGTAGTCTGGTTTTAGAGATGACACGACAATGCACTTCTATATGTAAGAGGCAACATACTATATAAAGCAGCAGCAGCATCTTGATATTATTTTAGGGTTGGGTTTACACAATGGCTTCTAGATACTATTTGAAAGGATTCCTCATATAATATGCATAAACAATGTGTTGGCTCTAAAAGAAGGAGCTGTGTCCCCTCCTCAATGGCATCAGCATGTTGCAAAAATAGTAGGATCTTTTTCATTTAAGTGAAATAAAATTCTTTACTAAGGGGAGAATAATTTGCAACATTCCAATTAAGTTCTGGTTAACAATATATCCATATCCCTCCACGTCAAGGGACAGAAACAATTATCCAACTTAAACATTGCTTGGTTCAGGATGGCATGTGATATGAGGAAGCAATACATTCTTTAAACTTAAAGATTATGTACTTTGCACATTTTTGTTGCTCTAAAGGGGTTTTGCACCATCTGGCCAGGATTAATAATACAAAATGTATCATCTAGTACCAATAATTAAGACTAGTAACTTCACCTTCTTACTACATTGATTCTAGTAAATATGGGATTGTTAATGTTGAATTAGAGTCTCTTGCAAATATCTAGTAGTTTACAAGTCAAAGGGATAATCTTATCTTGAGATGTGAATAATTATTTCTACCGAAATTTATAAAGAATACTATTTTGCCCCCATCATAAGGGAGGGAAAAGGGTAGGAAGGAAACAGCCACCAGTTGACAAATCTAATACTGTACTATGCTGCTTCTGAGCAGTCTTTATTAACTGTAGTTGGTTCTCAGAAATGAGTACTTTCCTTTGCAGACCAGGCTAAGGCAAGTTTGTTTATCCACCAATCATTTATAAGTGCCCAAATCAGGGGCAAAAAAATAAAAATAAAAATCAGGTACTAGAAATGAAGGAATTTACCCCATATCAGAACTGCTGATGTGCACCTTTAACAATCAGCACACAGAGAACTCAATTGTTTGGTCCTGATCGTTTATACAGGTATGCATATTTTACTCAAAAATACATATTGCTCTCTTCAGGATGCACGTGCAGGTACAATATCCAAGTAAGGTTTCAACATTTCTATCTTGTAAGAATTACTGTGAACTTTGACACAATATCATCAGACAATTTCCACAGCAAATAGAGAGAAAACATTCTACGCAACCAAAAATCCCTACACTATTAGGAATCCTGTGAAAATGGATAAGCCACTATTCCAATGCACTACAGTACCTCTTCCTTGGACTCCTCTTCCTCAATTTCTGTGGACACAGACGGTACCTTAGGTTTGTGCCATGATATCTGTAGTCTTCGGTCTTTGAATCTTGATCCTTGGTTAGCAGCCTGGGTTTTATTTTAGATGTGTTTTTAAAAGGAATTAAAAACATATGGTTCATAAGCGTAAAGAAACAAGGTAACCAATAGTGAGCTAGATACTTTAATCAGAAGAGGTTATCCCCTTAAGAAGTGTCAGTGTACACCTCCCAAATCTATGCTACACAACTACCACCTCCCACTCCCATAAGGATATTTCTGAGCAGCAACTTCAACACAGCTCCTAATTGGCGGGGTCACTGTATGTACATTGGCATTCTGGGAACAGCGACAGGGCTCAAAGATAGCTTGGCTGGAAGACTCCAGCGTTGAAGCTCCGTCAATGCTGAGTTCACCAACCATTTAACTAATGGCAACAAATATCCACGCTGTCCATTCCAGACTGGTATGGAACAAAGCACCCCGAAGAAAGTTCAACTAGTACATTGTACCAAAGAGTAGGATTCTTACCCTCAAATTACAGGAAGAGTTCCCTTACTGAACTTACATTTTCAGCTTCTGAGCGGGACTTAAAAGTCAGAACGACACTTAAAGGAGAATCCTCTTCTTGGAGGTCTTCAATATCTCCAAATTTCTGTGAAACAGATGTACAATAAGAAAAATCATCATTAAACAGGTGTGCTAGTCGGACAAACCATCATATTGTAACACGGGCCTATTCAAAGCTGAAATTTAAATATGGCTTTTTTGGTGGAAGGAAGAGATAGCCTGAGGCTAGAAAGGTGTCACAGCTTGTACCATCTAGCAGCACTGTATAGCCTCGAGCCTGTCTCCCAAGAAACAGATTTAAATTACTTGCAATTAAAATTCACTGCTCAACTAGGAACACACATCCGCCCCCTACAAAAAGGGGCCTTCACTTACCAGCGTGTTAAGAATTCTTTTTTCCCCTTAATCCGCTCCTTCACACACATACACACCTCTCCCCCATCACATAACTTCTCTAGTCCCATGAAGTAGTTCCTTTGGAGCTCATTAATTTGCAAAAGGGAAATTGTTCAGCAAGAGAACCATAGCACTCTGCCAGAAAACAGAAGCTTGATCAATCCACTATCACTAGATCAATCAAATGTTTACATTTTACAACTAACCAACTCCCTTTAATCTGAGTATTAGAGTGGCAATAACACTGGATCACAATACTAGAGAACTAGATTGTACACTAAAGCCAATCTTGCTGAAATGAGAGCAACTTACAAACTTTCATACTGTATTTGTCTTCAATACAAAAAGGATTTGTTGTCAGTGAAAGCATTTCTTGAATCGTAGTCTGAGTAGGAGAATGAAAATTATTCTTGTCTTCTACCTTAAATTTTATGTAGAAAACTATTAAGCTTCTTGGAAACACTTTATTAACTCAGGTAATAGAAACCATGGTATGCCAAATCTCTTACTGCAGGTCTAACAGCTGATGCTGCTGAACTAGCAGAGAACATTTTCATAAGAATGTAAGTCACTTAGAAAACGGGGAGAATTCCCAGAGGATGGGCACTATAGTGCAGTACTTCACGTTCAGCTAAAAAATACTAGAGCTGGTTGAAAAACAAAACATTTTTTCATCAGAATTTACCAGTCCATTGAAATCTAAAGTGTTTTGCAGATATAGTTCTATTTCTAGGCTCTCTCCCCCCCCCCCCCCCCCCCCCCCCCCCCCCCCCCCCCCCCCCCCCCCACGCCCCCCTGCCACCCCAGGCCTGGGCTCTCTCCCCCCCCCCACCCCACCCGCAGCCCCTGCCACCCCAGTCCTGGGCTCCCCCCCCACCAGTGCTGACTCCGCCCGCTCCCCCCTCGCCTCCAGCCGGTCCGGCGCTGGCAGGGTCGGGGTAAGCAGCGGGGCTCCTGGGCTGCACCTCAGCCCAGGGTCCCTCCAGCCAGGGCTCCCGCCTCCAGGACCGGCCAGGACCTGGGAGTGCAGAGCCGGGGGACCACCCGGCAGGGGGCTGAGGAGCCGGGGCAGGGTAGCCCCAGAGGGAGCAGAACCCTGGAGAGCTGGACGCGGGCCCCACACGGCAGCACCCCACCCTCTATGGCCCTGCTGCTGCTTCTGGCCACCCTGCCGCAGTCCCTGGGCAGCTCGGGCCGGTTGCGGCGCTGGGGGGCAGCGGTGCTGTGGCACCTGCAGGCGGCTCCATGTGCCCCGTGGGGTGGCCCCCAGCCCGAGTGTCCCCCGCTCTGAGCCTGCCCGGCCCAGCCACAAGGTGCGGGCGCTGCTCCCCCGCGGCGTGAACTGCAGTGGCCCCAGGGCGCGACGCACTGCTGCTGCCAGGGCCGGCTCTAGGCTTTTGCCGCCGGAAGCAAAAAAATTGCCAGAATGCCGCCCTTGAAAATGTGCTGCCCCAAGCACGTGCTTGGTTTGCTGGTGCCTAGAGCTGGCCCTGCTCTTATTTCAGGAGCCCAAGAGAACCCGCCCTGGTCACATGGCAGGCAGGCAAGTTGGCAGGAGGACTGCCTCAGAGTCCTGAACCCTAGGTCTACCAGGGTTTGCAGCTCTGGGTTAACCCACCATATGGGGCACAGCCACGATTCCATTCCCTTCTACAGAGAACTTTGAAATTTTTGGTTTTAGTTCAATTTGGAATAAAATCAATTTCTGAAATATGAAAATTCTCTGTGAAATGAACTACCTTTCTCTACTCAACTCTAATAAATGGTTCTTAATATTGCCCAGTTTTTCCATATCACCACTGTCTCTTTGCAAAAGTTTAGGTATTCTTTGCATTAACTTGGTCAAGGTTCAATGTCATGTTTCACAAACATGGCATGTGTTTCAATTGCTCAAAAAGTTAATCGGCTTCTCATTTACGAAGTGCCAGGATGCAGAAGACATTTAGGAAAATTTAACATGATAAACGGATATTAATTTAGTTGTGTCCCATACTGACATTGGATGCAACAGTTCACAACCCAACAAAGGGACCTGAAAGCTGCAATATGAACTTCCTACAAAGTTAAATTTGTGAAATTGCTGCTTTGCTTGGAAAAAAGACAGACAGTTACCTTTTCCATAACTGGTGTTCTTCGAGATGTGTTGCTTATGTCCATTCATTATTAGGCGTGTGTACTCACCACATGCACCAGTACTGGAAGTTTTTCCCTCAGCAGTATCTGTAGGGGACCGGCTCTGGCACCCTCTAGAGTGGCACACGTATGGCATGGTACAAGGGGCGCCGCCCACCCTCAGTTCCTTCTTGCCCGAAACTCCGACAGTGGGGAAGGAGGCGGGTCATGGAATGGACATGAGCAACACATCTTGAAGAACACCATTTACGGAAAAGGTAACTGTCTTTTCTTCTTCGAGTGCTTGCTCAAGCCCATTCCATATTAGGTGACTCCCAAGCAATACCATCAGAGGCGGGTAGGAGTTCACGGACGCGTAGATAGCAACACAGCTCTGCCGAACCCAGCGTTGTCTTTGGCCTGCTGAGTGATGGCATAATGTGCTGTGAGCATGTGAACAGAGGACCACGACATGGTGCTACAGATGTCCTGGATAGGGATGTGAGCCGGCAAGGCCACAGAGGACGCCTGAGCTCTAGTGGAGTGGGCTCTGACAATTGGTGGTGGTGGGACCCCTGCCAGGTCGTAACAGGTCCTTATGCAAGAGGTGATTCAGTTGGAAATCCTCTGTGAGGATACCAGAAGGCCCTTCATCCTATCCACTGTAGCGCTGAAGAGCTGAGTTGATTTATGGAAAAGCTTGGTGCGTTCTAGGTAAAAAGCCAAGGCCCTTCGGATGTCCAGCACATGAAGACAACTCTCTTGTCTGGTCTTGTGCGGTTTGGGACAGAACATCTGGAGGAAGATGTCCTGGTTCATATGGAAGGGAGACACCACCTTCAGCAGGAAGGCTGGGTGGGGCCGCAGCTTAACCGTGTCTTTGTAGAAGACCGTGTACAGACATTCTGAGGTCAAGGCTTTAATCTCAGAGACTCATCTCGCTGATGTCACTGCCACCAGCAAAGCGACTTTCCATGACAGGGAAAGGGATCAGGAGCCCAGCGGCTCAAAGGGAGGGCCTCTGAGCCTAGAGAGGGCCAAGTTAAGATCCCACTGCAGAACAGGGGTCCGTACCTGCAGGAAGAATCTGACAGTCATGTCATGAGAAAACACTGTCTGGCCCTGGATCGGCAGGTGAAAAGCGGAAATGGCCGCAAGATGCACTCTAATGGAAAAGTGTGTCAGGCCCTGGTTCCTCAAATGAAGCTGGTAGTCTAAGACAGGCTGTATGGAAGAACGTGAGGGAGATACACCTCGCTCGGATGCCCAGCGGGAAAACCGTGTCTGCTTGGCCAGGTAAGTCAGTCTGGTTGAGGGCTTCCTACTCCCCAGGAGAACCTGTTGGACCTCCTCCAAACAGGTCCGCTCCTCCGGGTTCAGCCATGCAGCATCCACGCGGAGAGGTGGCGGGATGTAAGGTTTGGGTGTAAGAGCCAACCGTGGTCCTGTGACAGCAGGTCCGGTTGACTGGGCAGGGGCCAGGAAGGGACCGCTGTCAGGTTCACGAGCGTGTCGAACCAGTGCTGGCAAAGTCATGCCGGGGCAATCATAACCACCTTTGCCTTGTCTCTCTTGATCTTTGCCAGGACCCTGCTGATGAGAGGAATTGGAGGGAACGCATACATTAGGCTCCCCGATCATGACAGGAGTAAGACATTGGAGATGCAGTCCTTGCCCAGACCTTGCAGAGAACAAAACTGATGACATTTTCTATTTTGCCTGGTGGCGAACAGGTCCACTTGGGGAGTTCCCCACCGCTGGAAGATCATGTAGGCTACCTCCAGGTGGAGTGACCACTTGTGGTGAGAGGAGACGGCCCTGCTGAGGTGATCTACTAGTGTGTTCTTGATGCCAGGGAGGTGACAAGCCTCCAGGTGGATCTCGTGATTGATGCAGAAGTTCCAGAGACAGACTGCCTCTTAGCAGAGAGTTGACGAACATGCTCCCCCTTGCCTGCTGATATAGAACATTGAGGCTGTGTTGTCAGTCAGAACTCTAACCATCTTGCCAGACAGGTGAGGCAGGAAGACACTGCATGACAAGCAGACCACTCTGAGTTCTTCAACGTTTATGTGTAGTGTCCTCTCCTTTGGGGACCACATATCCTGGGTCTGGAGATCTCTAAGGTGCGCACCCCAGCTGAGGTCCGAGGCATCCGAAACCAACTTGACTGAGTGAGGGGGGTTGTCGAACGGAACTCCCTCTAGGACCGTCTCGCGATCGGTCCACCATCGCAGCGAGGTGAGTATTGCCAGAGGGAGGATAACCATCTTTTCCAGGTGATCTTTGGACTGGGAATAGACCATCGCCAACCATTGCTGCAGGGACCGCATCCGGAGCCTGGCATAGCGGACGACGTATGTGCACGCTGCCATGTGACCCAGCAGACACAGGCTGTAGTTAGGGGGAACGCGGACACCTCCGTGATAAGGTTTGTCAATGTCCGAAACTTTTCTAGAGGCAGGAATGCCCTCGCGCAGGTCAAGTTGAGCACCACTCCAATGAATTCTATCCTTTGCACTGGAACTAACGTAGATTTTGTTGTTGTTGTTCACCAGTACGCCCAGGGAGTGGCACGTGGCTTGCAGCACCATGACATCCTTTTGGACATGACCTGGAGCTGCCTTTGACCATCCAGTCGTCGAGGTATGGGTAGATCTGGATACCCCGGCATCTGAGGTAAGCCGCCACCACCAACATGCACTTGGTAAACACCCTCAGTGCTGTCGCTAGGCCAAACGGGAGGACTGTAAATTGGTGAATCGGAGAAAACGTCTGTGTCCTTGGAAGATCGCTATGTGGAAGTATGCGTCCTTTAGGTCGAGGGCGGCATACCAGTCTCCCAGATCCAGGGAGGGGATGATAGAGACCAGGGAGACCATGCGGAACTTCAGCTTCTTTAGGTACTTGTTGAGGTCTTGCAGGTCCAGAATGGGACACAGAGCACCCTTGGCCTTTGGGATAAAAAAGTATCAGGAATAAAACCCCTTGTTCCTGTACTTGAGAAGAACCTCCTCAACTGCACCCAGCTGCAGTAACCCTCGAACCTCCTGCACGAGGAGATTCTTGTGAGAAGGGTCCCTGAACAGGGACAGGGAAGGTGGGGGTAGAAAGAAACTGAAGGGCATAGCTCTGCACCACTGAACCACTGGGTCCTGAACACAAGGTTATAGCAGTCCATAGGGAGGAAAAAGTAAAGGCGGTTGGAAAAAAACGGGGAAGGTGGATCCGGGGAATAGTCTGGTAGGTCATCCTCGGGCACACCCTCAAAAAGATTGCTTGTTTTGGGTGGAGCCTGACTGAGCCGAGGGTGGAGGAGGGTGGTTCGGGTGGCGTTTCTAGCCCTTGGCCTTCTTGTGAGGCGGGTCCTGCCGAGCCTGGCTCCCTTGTCCCTGAGGCTGTTGTGGTTTGAACTGCTTACATGCCGGGCCTGGGACGTAAACCCTCAGAGTTTTCAGGGTGGTATGCAGCTTGCTGTTTGTCTGCTCTGCAAATAGGGCCTTGCCGTCAAAGGGAAGGTCCTGCATCAACTGCTGAGCCTGAGAGGAGCAGCCAGGAAGCTCGCTGCATTGAGATGGCAGAGACCATGGTGCGGGTGGCAGAGTCCGCCACATCTGAAGCTGCCTGGAGGGCTGCTCTGGCCACATCCATGCCCTCCTTGAGGATCGCTCAGAATTCCTTCCCGGACCCTTTGGGAAGCAAAGCCTCAAACTTGGCCATGGTCTGCCACATGCTGTAATCATAGTGGCCATGGAGGGCTTGGTGACTGGCCACTCAATTGCAGGCTGGAAGACTAATAAATTTTGCGTCCAAAGAGATCCAGCCTCCTTGAGTCTTTGTTTTTGGGGGTAGCCCCAGGTTGAGCTTGCCTCTCCCTGTGGTTAACTGCCTCAACCACCAGGGAATTGGGGGCCGGATGGGAATATAAGTACTCATGCCCCTTGGTTGACAGTAAGTACTTGCACTCGGCCCTTTTGGAGATGGGGGGCAAGGAGGAGGGAGTCTGCCACAGGGCATTAGCAATCTTAGATACCCCCTCATGAAGGGGTAAAGCCACCCTGGCAGGGGCCGGGGAGCAGAAGACATCAAACAGGGAGTCCGAAGGCTCCTCCAATTCCTCAGCCTGAAGCCCCAGGTTAGATGTGACGCTCTTCGATAGTTCCTGGTGAGCCTTGGCGTAATCCTGAGGAACTGGGTGAGGTGGCTCGGGGATAGCCTCGTCTGGCAATGATGAGGATGATGCCGGTACCGCGGGATCCTCGACGTCCAATGGTGGTCCAGCAGGCTGCTCCCCTGGGTCCCTCCTGGACCTGTGGGGTCCTTCCCCCCAAAGTCTCGAGGGGGTCAGGATGTCGAGGCTGCTGGCCTGTCTGAGGCTCCCGACACTGAACCGGCAGCCTGGGAAGGTTGGGAGGACCCCCAAGGGTTCCATGGCGCTGACTACTGCGCTTGGGGCCATGGGACAGGTATCGATGCTGATGATGTAGGCAGCACCGCAGGCATTGGAGGCTGCCCAACAGTTCGGGAAGCCTGCTCCGTGCCAAAAGCTATAGCCAGAGTGGTCGCGACCAGGATTGGGCGGAGCGGTTGCTCTTATCTGACCGGTGCCGGTCGCTGCACCTGGAGTAGACCTGTCCAAGCGAGACGAATGTCTTGGTCGGGGACTGATGGTATTCGGCAGATTGGCATCGGAAACCTGGCAATCTACGCCTTACGCTACCCGACTGGTACCGGGACGTCAAGCGGGACGGGGAGCTATCACGGGCTGGTTGCTGGGAGGATCTTCCCAAAATCGGCGATCCCCGTCTCCGAGACCAATGACAGGAGACTGGTGACCGGTGGCTTCGATCCCCCGATCAGTCCCAGGATTTGTACTGAGCTCTTGGTGACGTGAGGGGTTGGTCTCGGTGCTCCTGCCGGGGGGGTGCATGCCTCAGTGAGTCTGCACCAGGCTACTGGTGAAATATGTCTCAAATCTTGCTGTCGGTGCCCAAGGTCCAGGGACCAAAGAGGGCTCCACTAGTTAGCTTGGGATCTACTCACCACAAGACATGCATTTCAAGTGTTTGAGTACGCATTCAAATCTACGCACCTGGACATCCATAGAGACTGCAGTGCAGATATACCAGATATGCTAAGTTTTATATTCGGGCTTGCCAGGATTACATTTTTATCAGTAAATGTCAATTTCACCATACACACACAAACCAATAAAAAAAGATTTTCCTTGATAGAAAAAATTTACAGATAGGTAATTAAGAAAAATGCTGCTTGAGAACTTTTTAGAGTAAAAATCTAGTGATGTATACTTTTGAATTAGGCTTGTTCCAAATGGACTAGCAAATGAATAAAAGTAGGTATGACTTGTTGATTTAAGGACATTCACTTTGTTTATTTTGACATGTGACGTTGACAATTTCTGTTTTAATGGTTTATAAAGATTTAAATTTTTGAATGCCAACATCTAGAGTCATTAACCGTCTGCCCCTCCATAATTTCCTGCAACTGTGAAAATATAAAATTGATAAAAAGCAAAAAAACAGAACAAAAACCACCACCCCCACTTCAACATCGATATCCACTGAAATTATAAAAAATAAAAATTGAATTTTGCCAAGCCTTGTTACATTTAATAATCCAAATCCCAATTTTGGAAAGCAAAATTATATAGTTAACTTGTTCTATGATATTGCGATAGTGATATGACTTATCTGTATTATGGAAATCTGAATACAGATTCTCACATCTTCAAGATGGAGGGGGAGGGGGGAAGGTTTGCACATGAAGTTGCTTGAGTTCCTCCATTGGAAGATGCTAAAGAAACACCAAGTCTTGTATCTGCAGTACAAAATCATGACTACATTTTTTTCCAGTTTAAGTTATCTATCCAGAGCTGACTTACAGAGAAATGTTGTAATAATTCATCTTTCTCCTCTTCTACGAAGCCACCGACAGTTAGAGCTTTGGGACGGTGATCCACCACCATATGATTCAATGTGCCCCTTCCTCTCCCACCACGACCTCGTCCTCTTCCTCTGCCCTGAGCAGATATCGCCTTTCCTCGACCTACAGGCAAGATACCTAAACGGGCAGCCTGTTAAAAAGAAAGGCACAGTGGGCAAAGCTTTTTTCAGCTTTCAGGGGAGTTGAAAGCTTCATGTCACAGACATGAAGCACTGGGGCAGCACTCCTTACAAACTCACCTCAACCTGTAGTTGACTGAGCTTTTTCCGCAACTCTGTTGTATCTTCTCCAGAAGACAATCTTTTATGAAAGTCCAGTTCTGCATCTAAAAGCTCCTTTTGTGCCTTAAAAAAAAATGGGGATATTAGTACTTATCCTCTAAACACCTTATTCCATTTTCTTTAGCCACAAACTTTAGAAAAATCCCCCAGTATCCTAAGCCCAATGGTTCATGCCCAGTAGAAGAAAATGATGTTCAACTCTGAAGAAGACAATTTGAATTCCTGTGTTGAAATACATACAATGCCAGGCTAGTCAAGTTCCTTTGGACAAGCAAACTATGATTTCAGTGATCTCTTCTCAGTTGATCATTGAACTATATGGATCAAAAGTAACTTTCAAAAAGTTATTTTCTATTGGAGTTGATGTATTTGCCCATGCTTATACTTATCAGTAGGTATTTGGTTATAAGGATCACAGTGAAGTAATTTTTGAGGTTTTCACAGGTATGAAAGGATTTTATACTAAATGCTGCAGGAGGACAACTTTACTGCTTGTGGAGTGCCAGTTAGTAGTCATTTATATTCCCACTAATCTATCTTGGCCTTTAAATGCTGGTAGAACTTGCTTCGTCATTGTATCTAAAGCTTTTGCTTATACCTTTCCAATATGGAAAGTTCAAACAAGTCGCAGCAATTAAAAACAGTATCCCTAATGCTTTTTAAATAGCTGTATTACTGTAAACACTGTGTTACAAGTTATTGAATTAGAAAAGTAATCAATACCTTCCTGTATCATTCATGCAATACAAACCAGCATGAACAGTAACTCCCCACTTAATGTCCTCTCGCTTAACGTTGTTTTGATCTTACGTCCCTGCTCAATTACAGAACATGCTTCATTTAAAGTTGTCCAATGCTTCACTATAATGACATTTGGCTGCAGAACCCGCGGACCAGCGCCTTCCCCCTCCTCCCCCGACCTCCTGCCTGCGAGCCAGCTGATTGCTGCGGGCAGGGGAGGGAGGAGGGGAGCCTGCGCGCTGAGTCCTCGCTCCTCTCCCCTCCTTCCTGCCCCCTGAATGTCACAAGCCAGCTGATTGCCCCTGGGGGGTTGGGAGAACGAGGACACGGTGCACTTCCCCCGTCCCTCCCCTGCCACCTGCCCGCGGCAATCAGCTGGCTTGCGGTGTTCAGGAGGCAGGGGGAGCAGGGCCGGCTCCAGGCACCAGTCCACCAAGCATGTGCTTGGGGCAGCGCCTGGAGGGGGGCGGCGCGGCGGGGTGCTCCGGCCGGTCGGGGAGAGCGGAGAGCCCCGGCCGGGCTCTCCGCCCTCCCCCCGGCGCTCCGGCCAGTCGGGGATTGCGGGCCCGCGGCCGGGCTCGGCGCCCTCCCCTCCCCTGCCGCAATGCTCAGATTACTATAACAACTAGGTATACCAGTTCCCTGTGTACCAGTGTCCTAAAGCGTATTAGCTTTCCACTTTGTTCTATCCCCATGCTTCACTGTCCACTCTAAAAGATGAGGTGAGAAAGTAAACCTGAAGACTGCTATTGCCTGCTTGCTAAAAATCCTAGTAATGATTTTATTTCAGAAGATTGTATGTATGCATGCATACATGCATAGAGGTAGGACAATGCACACACCTCTGTCTTGGACTTCAGTTTTGATGGCGTGGAGGCTACAGAAGAAGTTTTCAATTCATCCTTTAATTGAGAGATTTTTCCTGTTAGTTCTTTCAAGGTCTTCATTATTTCTGCCCTCTCCTCTGGTTTCGTGGCCTTATTTTTCTCCAGCTTAGATATCAACATCTATATAATGTTAAAAAAAACCCCAACTGAGTAAGGAGATACAATTTAGACAAGCAACCACATTGAATAATTTTGGTGCCCACTGGAATCAGAATGCAACAGCTGGAATACATTCCAGACTTACCTTTTGGCATTCTATTTGTTTTTCTAACATCTCCTGCTTCTTTTTTCTCATATCTTGTTGTAGCTTCATTGCCTCCTAAGTGAGAAGGACATACTTTCAGTCAGTTATTGGGCATATACAAGTTACTATGATTAGAAAGAACTAGATTAAAATCACACTACTTTTTCTTGGCTGAGATCTAGAGTAACATCCATTAAGCATTAGATTTGTCCTGCAGTGACACACAATACTACACTGGACGGGGGATGGATTCAATAAGTCTTTCATCTAGAAGTTTCTGATTATCCCATATATAGCCAAGAAAGCCAATAATAATAACTTTTCTAACACTCCTCCTGCCAACTGCTCAGGTGTTATACTTTTTCTTTTAAAAATAATAAAAATGAAAGCTCTAATGAAGATTAAAGGTGTGTGTGCTGCACAAACGTAAAGAGGCTCTGATCCTGATTCACTATATCACAGTAACACTAAATGCCCCAAGCTAATGCTGCAACATGCACACAAAACAAGGGACAGCACAGACCACTTAAATGAAAACATTTGTCTCTCCCAATTCCCCTTCATCTTTTTACAGACACTTTCTCGGTCAAGTAGGATAAATTTAAGTGCCTGAGAACTTTAGAGATAGAGGAAACATCCTCTGATACAGAACACATCAGCCACACAATAGAGCATTTCCAGTAAAGACAAAAAGATATAATACACTTGACACCATACGCTCCCTTTACTGCAAGGGGGAACAACTATTGAAAGCCACTGGGCCCACCAGGAAGAGGAAAGTGGCCAAAAGGGCTGCTCCTGACCCTGCTTAGCCACACTGCCTCTCTGCAAGATATCCAGACAGCCCACAGGCTGTACTGAAAACAAAAAAGTGGGATCACTGTAAGAGGCAAGTTGTCTCAGAACTGATCACTGCTCTACAGGAAAAGTTGGAGTTAAAGCTATGTGACCAGGTGTATTAGGCCCGGAGGCCCCCTGCTGGAGACCTCACAGTCCTACCACAACCTATCCAAAAAAGAGTAGAAGAGGATTGTCCTCCAAGCTACTTAGGGTATGTCTACACTACAGGATTAATCCGAATTTAGATAATTCGAATTTGGGAAACAGGTTGTATAAATTCGATTGTGCGCGGCCACACTAAGCACCTTAATTCGGTTTTTAACCACATTAATTCGGTGGTGTGCGGCCACACTACCCCATTAATTTAAACACAGTAATTCGGTGGTGTGCGTCCACACTAACCCTAATTCGAATTAACAAAATCGATTTAGGCTCTACTCCGTTCGTCGAGGTGGAGTACAGAAATCGATTTAAAGGGCCCTTTAATTCGAATTAACTGGCTCTGTAGTGTGGACGGGTGAAGGGTTAATTCGGATTAACGCTGCTAAATCCGAATTAATCCCGTAGTGTAGACCAGGCCTTAGAGAGGCTGCAAGGATCAGCCAACCAGGGCCCAGAAGACTCATATAAAAGGAACTACAGAGCCAGAGTGAGTTCAGTCTGCTGGCAGGGACTGGGGGAGCAGGGAAAGTGCTCCTGGCTGGCTGCTGGGACACGAGTAAGACAAGGGCCACAGGGAAGTGGCCCAGAGAAATACAGTAAGTTAAAGGGATGCGGCTGCTACTTAGAGTGTCCATGGGTTAGGACCTGGAGTAGTGGGCGAGCCCGGGTCCCCCCCAACAGCCACTGGGGAAGTAGCTAAGCCCCGAGCAAGAGTTTAAACAGGCCCAGTGAAGGGCTGCATTTGGAATGGTGTTACCATGACCAGAAGGGGCCGAACTGAGACTAAGGCCACGTCTACACTACCCGCCGGATTGGCGGTTAGTAATCGATCTATCGGGGATCCATTTATCTAGATGAGACGCGATAAATTGATCCCCGAATCGATGCCCGTACTCCACCTCGGCAGGAGGAGTAAGCGGAGTCGATGGGGGAGCCGCGGTCGACTTGCTGCTGTGAGGACGGCCAGGTAAGTCGAACTAAGATACTTCAACTTCAGCTACGCGAATAGCATAGCTGAAGTTGTGTATCTTAGATCGATCCCCCTCCCCCCCAGTGCAGACCAGTCCTGACTCTGCTGGAGAGCTGGGGGTCAGTGAACTGAGTTCAAGAAAAGTGGCTGAGTTGGAGAGCTGGAGTCACTGAGGACTCAAGAGAAGGCAAAAGTCGCTAGGGAGGAAGCCCTGGGGGCACTGCTCCACTCCAGAGCAGGAATCTTTGCAAGGTAGTCCGACCCCAATTTAGGGTACCATGATGAGCCCTGTTGGATGGACTGACTAAGGACTAAGCCTGGAGAAGGCTGCAGGACTTTGAGGGCTTTGAGATAGGCTCTGTAGAACTGTACATCCCAAAAGGTGTGTGTGTGTGTTTTCGCACACGGACTGTGTGTGATTTGGCCGGAGAGCTGAGTCACTGGAGACCTGCCTGACAAGCACAGTGGCTGACAGTGGGCACTGTAAGTGGAGAACTTGAGAAAAAACTGCAGGCACACGCACTCAACCAGGGGCACAGTGACGTAAGAGGTAATTTCTTTACAAGGATCTTGACTTCTAGAATATCCAAACAACATATATACAATTACCTGTTTCTTTTTAAGGGCCTCTTGAACGTCATGGGATTTAGATCCTGTGCCAGATTTCACAGATGTCTTTAAGTTTGGGGAATTGTACACCATTTTTGTATGGCTTGTAGAAGTAGGAAATGTCTGAAATAATAGAACACTAAAATGACTTAGGTTAAAGATGTCTTTTTAAAAAAAAAAAAAAAAGCTATTTGGTATTTAGGTGATGCATTACAACTTAATATAGAGAGACAAGGTGGGTGAAGTAATATCTTTTATTGGACAAGCTCAAAAACTTGTCTCTTACCAACAGAAGTTGGTCCAATAAAAGATACTACCTTGCCCACCTTGCCTCTTTAATATCCTGTGAGCAACACAGTACAATTACACTGCAAACTTATTGATTCCCGTATGCATGCGTATGTATTAACAGCATAATTCTGCCCAGAAGAGTAAAGCCTGAATGCTTGTCAAAGGCATTTGACAAAAGAAAACCTCTCCCTTACTAAAGTTCTTATTTGGAGAATAATACAGGGAAAGATAAGAGCCAGTGAGGCCATAAGCTAATGCTGCCAGTTACACAAACCACATCAGGATCAAATTTATCTCTGCTAACCACTATGGAGACTAAGTGTATTACTTCTGCATTCTATACAGGTTAGCATTCACACGCCAACAATATTATGCTTTCTGCTCAGAATTTTAGAAACGTGATTCCCATTAAAAGAGCAATAGTTGTTCAGCCTAAACCTTGCACGATTCTTCCTTTCCACTACAAGCATATCTTTTGGTTACCAGGGCTGTTTTGCACCACAGCATCAGTGCAACTCAATCTGCATTACTCTGAACTGTATGAAGATTTATATGGTTCTATAGCAAAGTACCTATCCATGCAGATCAGTGCACATGAAGAGTAAGTTTACAGGAATAAGAAGTGAAATCTTGTCACTAGAGATCTGACTGATTATACTGAGGGATGAGATTTGTTAGCAAAGCAATACCTTTTGAATATTTATTTTTCTAATCATACCTATATTTTAAACCAAGATTCAACAATTATTTCCCACAGACATTACTCTGCAGATAGGAAATTGGAGCTACAGAGATTAAATGACTTGCTGGAGGTCACACAGAACGTTAATGAAACAACCACAAACAGAACCCACAAATCCTATTTAGTCATCCTCTGATCTAACCAATAGTGAAAATATTAAATTTTGAGATTCACAGGCACTAATCTTTGTCAAACATACCTGAGAATCCTCTGCAGTAGCACTGGACTGGTTTAACAAATGTGCTGCATCGGTCTGGTTTCCACCTGCTGCTCCAAGGCGACGTTTAACTGAAACCTTATTAAGGACATAGGCACCCGATGCCAGTGGTTTAGTTATCACCTGCATACGAGTACATATAAAAAGGAAAGATTATATAGTTGCATCTTTAAAGCACTATGCACTTTGAAGCATCACTGATCTTCAATGCTCTGACCAGTTTGACAAAGCAGCCTCATTTTGCATGAGGGCAGTATACCTTTGACACATTGCTATGTACCGTTGCAGCTGGAGGTTGGGCAGTCAGTGTTTGTTGTTGAAGATGAAGCTGGTGATGCAGAGATTGTGGTGGTGGCTGCTGGTGATGGTGCAGGTGTTGCTGCAGCAGTGGTGGCTGCTGCTCATTTTCCCTATGCCACAGCACCCTTATAAATCGATTGTTTAAAACTGCCTCTGTGCTGGAAATGGCCTTTCTGGCCTCATCGTTAGTTAAATACTGAATTAGAGCAGCTTCAGGATCATTCTTGAAAGCAACCTAAAACAGAAGTTCGGCATATATGAACAATTGCCACTGATTTGTATTTCACAGGAAACAAAGCATCTGAAATGTCATGTAAAACTGTATTTGACAAATGTTCGCCAGAAAGGAGGGAGCTGTATTTTTCAAGTATCGATTACACAAAAATGACACACTGATGAAGTCAAAGCCAAATGTCCTCTGACATACTTTACACAGCACAGACAATAGGTTTTATGTATGTAGTAAAATACACTACCATTGTGTTATCTGCTATCATCACTATTAAATATTCACTATGAAGTGAGACAGAAACAACCATTGCTGCTCCTATCACAGCTGTGCTCTGCATCCCCAGTTCTTCCTTTTAAAGCGCCTGTGGAAGGGCAGGGTTCGAATCCATACAAGACTAAATATCCACTGTATTAGGCATTTGGGTTACAGAAGCAAGGAGAATTCCGCCCAAAGGCCCAACAAAGTCACTACAATGCAAGCCACAAAGGTTTGCTCCATTTTTAGGAGAAAAGCCTCCTAATTCCATGTGATACATTGAGGAAAAAAAATGTTTTATTCAATGTCAGTATCAAAGACCAATTTTATTTTCCAGTATGAAAAAGGTAATTACATTTTTTAAATGCACTATTTTGGAGGAAGGTAGACTACTACCAATAGAGCAAGTCATTCTTAATAGAGAAAGCTAGATAGTTTTGGACTAAAAATGTCTTTACTCATATCAAACTCAAAACACAGGTAGATTTTCATAGGTCCCACTTTTTATTCTGTTTTCTTATCAAAGGCCTAAAGGAAGCCAAGCTACTTTCCCAGCCAAACAGTGGGAAACAGTTGACTAAGATTTTAGCCATAGAACTAGAAATATTTTGTTTATATAGTTCCATTCCAGACAATCCCAAGCACCATCACCTGAATTGCAGTCACCTCTGTGGTGGAAAATGGCAGTAAATTGCTACTCAGAGACTTTTGGTGAAAGATGCTTGGATAAAGCCCTGTCCTTATGAGAAATACTATGGGATCTTCAATTCCCATACAAAAACAGGAAGTATTTTTGTTTACCAGGTCTCTTCCAAAAATCAAGTGTAGGGTGCTCAGTGAATGTTGGGGTTTCAGACCCGATGCTTCACCCCCTTGCTTCACCCCCAGCTTTGAGAGTTTAAAATGCACCTGTGCAGCTAGAAGCTACTGTATTAATTTTTAACAGAGTGGAGACAGTAATGCAGAGTGGACCAGGCACAAGAGGCTTCTGATTCAGTCCTTTGCCCTCCCCACTAACTACCCTGATTTCCCAAATGATACAGTATGGTTTTTTGACAAAGTTATTGAAGAGAGACATCCGAAAAAAATAATCTTGATTTTACCTGAATGTTAACAATAGTTCCAAATTTGCTGAAATGTTCATTGAGTCGTGTAATATTATTCAACTCAGGTGGGATTTTTCGAACTTCCAGCTTGGTGTTAGTGTACTGATTCTTTTTCAGAAATCCTGGTTTATTCTGGTTATTGGCTTGCCTAGAAAAAGCAAGAGTGAGATAACATTTATGGGAAACATATTGCATATTAACTACTTAATAGCCTACTGTTCATTACTTAGGTTTATCCTTCTATAATAAGGGTAGATGACAAACTCAAGATTTAATGAGACTGTGGTATATGTAGCATTTAACATCTGTATTCTCAAATGGCAGGAGCCTGTTCACTAAGCCCCAGAGTCTTTTGAGAGCGCTCTGGCTCAGACAATTATATTCAGAACACTGAAAGAAATCCATTTTACATTACTGATTAGTCAGCTGCATTTAGATAATCTCATCGTCCCTTATGGCCTTATACTCTGACTTATTAGTTCTTACTTTCCCATCCAGGGTTTCTTTACAGGTGGGCCTTCCATACTACTTGGAGGTCTTTTCCTGTTGTCTGGCTCAAGCACCACTCTGGTTACATTGCTGCTGTTATTTGCAATGGAAATGGGAGTTTCAGTCTGGATGATAATGTTGGCCGCTGGAGGAAAAAGAAGCATATTATTTAACGTGCTCTAACCGAGACATCCCCATAATTAGCATTTAAAGTTTAAAAAGCAGGCTTTTGTTTAAAGAAAAGCACAAGTATACATACTACAGATGGGTATGTTCAGCTGTTAATAATAAAAATCAAAGGTTTTGACAAGCTGATCAATCTTGTTTATGGAATTACTTCAGGGAATGGAAGTAAGTAGCTTAACAATAAGCTGAGTAGTGGAGGGTAAGAATCTCTCTTAAAAATGACTTTGGACAAGCACCATATTAAAATTAGAGAAAAACCCTCAAATTAAACTTCACACTTTAATTTCCAAAGTAAGCGTCAGCCTATTTAACTCATTTAAGAAAGTATGAAAGCCTTAAGAAAGCCACAAATATAGGCTGAAGCCTATCTGTTCAGACTACAATTAACATTTTTTAGCATGACTTTCTTTCTTGGGCTGAAGATCAAGACAGAGGTGAGAGGCTGCAGAAGTGCTGGGAAGCTGCAGTTTAGAACTGGATACAATTAAGAGAACTAGGGAGGTGAGGAATATTTGCCTAGTACTTGCTTGCATCCTGCTTAGATGCTGCTATTGCCATTAGTCTTTCACTTCCCACATGCCAAATACTCATTCCCCTAAAAAGAAGCTTGCTTAACTGTACATCATTTTATACGGTTTGTATAAGTACCAGAGACTTTGGTAACACTAGTTACACTGGTGAGAATGAAGGGTACAGGATGCACAGATTTTTTCATTTTAAATATAAAAACAGCTTCCAAAGTAAGTGCACCTCTCTTAGCCTTGAAAAACTAGAATAGAAGGGATTGAAACCAATTTGCCTATAGTGTTCTGGATTTTCCCCGTTACTGAAATGCATTCTCAGAGAGCAGTCTCTTAGAGCTTGCAGTGAAGTAAATCTTGTGTTTATGGCATCACAATCCTATGCTATGGAAATGGCATATCAGATTCCACAATAATACTTCACTATTAGATCCTCTGCCCCACCCTCCTCCACCTCTGGGAGCTTCTTTAATACTGTTCTGGGTGCCAACAATTTTTTTTTTTTTTTTTTTTTTTTTTAAGCCTTACAGGTGTTATGTGCAAGCTAACGTTTTTTTATACATGAAAATTAACCCTTCATTTAAACTACACCAGCTCAACTCAATAAATGCAATAGTTCCACACGCAAAAAGATGTAAGATTTCATGTGTGATAGTCTGTTTAAATTAAGATACCTTGCTTAAAATAAGCCAGATCCTCATGTGGCCAAGACCTGCCACAGCAGCTCCTTTGCCACCACCCTCACTTCAGCTAACACAGGGAGTATATGGAGAGAAGATGGTGTGGATGGGCATTCTTGTGCCCCTGTTGCCAGAATGAACCTTTGTTACATTAAAGCAGTGTTCAGGCTGCTTATGTTATAATGGGTACGATTTTTGGATTAGGTAGCTTAAAGCTTTTTGCCCCATCTCACCTCCCAGCTGCACTAAGAGCTTGTTGAGTGCATTTGAAAATTAGAGGGAAAGTGATTTGTATTTTGCATTAGTCTGCACAGTAGCAAATCAGGGGGTTTTTTTTGTTTTTTTTTTTTAAACTTTTAGATGATCACGTTAGCATTCAAAATTATCTTCTACTTTAATAAGAACTTTGACATTTAAAGTGTGTGAAAGTTATGCCTGAACATTAGTTCAAAGGCTCTATTGGTTTTTCTTTGTTCCAGGCTGAAACTAAGAAAAACCAAGAGATGACAGACTCAACTCTGTTCATAAGAACAGTTACAGCAGTGTCAAGATACCTTTCTTACCTCTTGGATTTGTATCCATCTCCCCAGACGTTAGGCCAATCAGATTTGGACGCTGTGTCTGTGTTCTAGTAAAGAACTGTCGGTATTGAGATCTACCAGCACTGGTAATACTAGGTGCTTCAGGGTTATAACCATCTGGCTCATACGTATCTATCAAGAGACAGAAAAAGAAATAGGAGGGATTTCTGAATAATTCCAAAATTCCAGGTTAGTTGCCTTGAGGAAGATGATTTGAATGTAACACGTCTGATGTACTACACTGAGCACATAGCCCTTGTCTCAAGGAAAAGAAATTGCAAAATAGCATTCAGCTATATCATCCTGAAGGTCATCTCCCTACCCACCATGACCTGCAAAACCATGCCGAGGTCCAAGAATTAGAGCCTGGTTTGGGTGGGGAGAAGAGATGGGAGCAAAACAGGGCATAGAAATACACGTAGCCTGCAATCTAAAACACTTGAGTAATATTATTGAACTCTGTAGTAAACCCGTGTTCTACTTAGTTTGTCACTGTTGCTAGTTTGAGGTGTGTGAATACTTCAACCTTTTTCATGCTGGTCCTCAATTCAGAAATGAAGGAAGATTTAAGCCATGTAGGTTATTTTTAATAAATATGCCAGGCAGTAGGGTTTCCTTATGGCACTCTTCACTAAATCTAATTATATTCCAGTGCCTGAGGGGAAGCAAAGCAGACACCCATGTATTTTGCAGGGCAGGGTGGGTAGGGAGACGGACCTTCAGGATGATATAGCTGAACTCTGTTGTACAATCTCTTTTCCTTGAGAAAAGGGCTATGTGCTCAGTGTAGTACGTAAGACATGTTCTACATTCAAATAATTCTAAGCTGAAATACCGGGCAATCATTTGATCAAAAATATTTACCCACTAAATGAGCCAACAAACAGAATTTAGCTATCTGACTCCAAGACCGGAAAGAAGAACTCTGTGTAAGGTTGAAAGCTTGTCTCTCTCACAACAGAAGTTGGTCCAACACAAGATATTACCTCACCGACCTTGTCTCTCCAATTAGACATTAAGGATCACAGTAATCAAAAGGGATAAAGTAGGGCTGTTGATTAATTGCAGTTAACTCAAAAAATTAATTGCGATTAACTGCAGTTTGAATCGCACTGTTAAACAATACCAATTGAAATTTATTAAATATGTTGGATATTTTTCTACATTTTCATATATATTGTATTCTGTTTTGTAACTGAAATCAAAGTGTATATTTTTTATTACAAATATTTGCACTGTAAAAATGATAAAAGAAATAGTATTTTTCAACTCATCTCATACAAGTACTGTAGTGCCATCTCTTTGTCATGAAAGTGCAACTTACAAATGTAGATTTTTTGTGTTACATAACTGCACTCAAAAATAAAACAATGTAAAACTTCAGAGCCTACAAGTCCACTCAGTCCTACTTCTTGTTCAATCAATCCCTCAGACAAACAAATTTGTTGATATTTACAGGAGATAATGCTGCCCTCTTCTTATTTACAATGTCACCAGAAAGTGAGACCAGGCATTTGCATGGCACTTTTGTAGCTGGCATTGCAAGGTATTTACATGCCAGATATGCTAAACATTCGTATGCCCCTTCATGCTTCAGCCACCATTCCAGAGGACATTCTTCCATGCTTATGACGTTTGTTAAAAAAAGAATGCGTTAATTAAATTTGTGATTGAACTCTTTGGGGGAGTATTGTATGCCCCTTGCTCTGTTTTACCCGCCTTCTGCCATATATTTCATGTTATAGAAGTCTCGGATGATGACCAAGCACATGTTGTTCATTTTAAGAACACTTTCACGGCAGATCTGACAAAACGCAAAGAAGGTACCAATGTGAGATTTCTAAAGATAGCTACCGCACTTGACCCAAGGTTTAAGAATCTGAAGTGCCTTCCTAAATCTGAGAGGGACGAGAGGTATTGAGCATGCTTTCAGAAGTCTTAAAAGAGCAACACTCCAATGTGGAAACTACAGAACTCGAATCATCAAAAAAGAAAATCAACCTTCTTCTGGTGGCATCTGATTCAGATAATGAAAATGAACATACGTCAGTCCACACTGCTTTGGACTGTTATCGAGCAGAACCCGTCATCAGCATGGACGCACGTCCCTGGAATGGTGGTTGAAGCATGAAGGGACATATCAATCTTTAGCGCATCTGGCACAAATATCTTGCAACGCTGGCTACAACTGTGCCACGAGAACGCCTGTTCTCACTTTCAGGTGACATTGTAAACCAGAAGCAGGCAGCATTATTTCCTGCAAATGTAAACAAACTTGTTTGTCTGAACAAGAAGTAGGACTGAGTGGACTTGCAGACTCTAAAATTTCACATTGTTTAATTTTTGAATGCAGTTTTTTTTACATAATTCTATAAATGATATTCTATTATTGTTTAACAGGGCGATTTATCCTAGGTCTGACAGCGATTAAGATCCAAGAACACAAGAGAAGCTAGGTTGGAGAAACAGAGCAAGTGTGGGTTCTTTCTAAATGGCACATCAAGGATGTCTCATTCTGTCAAACGTGTAAGGAAAAAAACCCACACAAAACCCGGAGTTGTTAAAATTTGTGAAAAGCCTCCAAGTAAATCCTGCATGGCCTGGAAGGGGAATGACTGAATAGAGAGATTCATCTGACGCCAAGTATCAAAAATCCACCAAACCAGCCTTTCACATTGCCAAGAGGCCATTGAAGTTTCCCCAATACATACTGTAAGTTTTAAAATGTATTCTTTCAGAAAAAGCAAGAGTGATAAATGCTTGATCTTGGATATTTTTTAAAAGCAGTTTAGCTATGGATTCTGCTGAGGACTTCCATTAAGCATATGTAAATTGTCCTCTAGTTGCTCCTTTGTTGTATCCCATCTGATTGCAAGGGCACAGTCACTGAATGTTCCGATGGCAACAGTGAGAATTTAAGAGAATTTATGTAGTGTCAAAGCATCAGTAACATCCTAAGAATTAAGACAGATTAATCAATCACAAAGAAAAACCCTGCAATTGAAGGACAATCATGTGGGGACAACATGGACTGGAAGTATTTGGGATAAATGAACAAAGATTTCAGCAAGATAACTGAGTGAGCTAAAGCAACACTGCTCTTCAGAACAAGGAAAACAGAAATGCCAATCGACTTTTCATTACAGGCAACAGTAGTGTAGCACTAAAGATATTGTTGGATTTAAGTTAACCATTTAAGGTTATCCAGTGACCAGACAGATATATTCAGTTACTGCTTTCAATTATGTTTTATATAAAATCTTCATTTTCCATAGTAAAGAGGGACACATTCATCTTTTGGATAATTACAATGAAGTCGCAACATAAACACAAAGTCTTATCTTGATAGCTTGCTTTTCTGGTAACAACATACTTGGAGGTGCAGTCTATTTTGGTAGCTGCATATATATATATTTTTTAATAGAAAATTAAAAGATGTTACTGTAATCAAGAATAGATGCCTTAAAACTGGCCAAAAATAAAAATAAGGCTGAGAGAATGACAAGGGGAAAAAAAAAAAAAAAAAGCTACTTAGAGGTTTAAGCGTACACAAGGTTACAAGTTTAAGTGTAAATACTGAGGATTAAGCTGATAGTTTCACATTTAAATGGAATTTCATCCAGGCATCGTCTCCTTAAAGCAGTATGACCGTGGCATAGGATCTCTGCAGCCTCAGGGAATGTGGAGGATCCTGGGGTGAACTAGATTTATTAGTCTCATCTAAAACTATCTTCTCCTCCCTCCTGCTCCCCTTTCCCCCAACAAATGGAGCATTAATCAAAGGAAAGCCACCAGACAATGTTTTTGGATTTGTATGCACTGCAAGAAAGTAAAAGTAATCACCATTTATATTATACAACATTAACAGAAGTAGTTTTAACTCTATTTTATCCCAGGCAGATTAAAAGACATTTGCTTACGTTCTGATACTGTATACAGTAGGTTCTGGGGTAAAGGAGGAGGTAGTCTTGCTCCCACTGGTGCAAGATTGGGCACCGCACTTGTCCGAGGCTGGTCACGGTTATTCATCAAACTTGACTGTGTTAAAGGTGGTCCTATAATGACAACATTAAATAGATCACTGACTTCATAGCCCTACAGATACTGAACAAGTTTGGACTGAACTGTTTGTACATTTATACTCAGCCTTTACTATAACCAAGTTTCTTGAGATTGCAATATTTTCTAATCTGAGAGCAATAAAAACATTCTGTATATGAAACGTGATTTGGGTTATTTACTCAATGATATTTTATCAGAAAGAATAAAGCTTTAAACTAAAAGGCACTCTCTCTTCCCTCGGAGACAATAACTATTATTGTTAGGGCTTACATTTGCTAGAACAGATCCTCCTTCACTTCCACCAGGGGAATAAAATCTCATTGAGAGCAAGAGATCACAATAGCGCTGTTTAGCCAGCATTTCTCAAATGTGGCCACCAGCGGCTTTTCTTGTGGCCACAGCCTTCCGGGTGGTGACTGAAGGGCGGGCGCAAAGCAGTGACCCTCCCCTGGAGTCACAGACAGCTGGTGTGAGTTCCCCATCTTCTCCATGGCGGTGGGGTTCAGGCTTCCAGCTTCACCCCTGCGGGGTGGCGGGTTCTGGCCATGCAGCAGTGGGCTTTGGCCTTGGGCTGTCCCCCAGCCCCTCGTGCACCACCCCCAGTCCTCGCTGGATCCTCCGGCCACTCACCCATCCACTACATCACCCCCAGCTCCCAGTGCCTCCCTACCCACATCCCCATCCAAGGCTTAATTTGTCTCCCGGCTTGCCAGGGCTGAGTAAGTCTGCTGTGAAAAGTGATATTTGCATGTTTGTTAATATCACTTCTCACAGCCTCCCAGCTAGCTTAACACCACAAAACAAAACAAAAAAGACAAGAACATGCAAATCACCTTATTTGTGTTTCTATTCTGTTTAGGTCCAGTAAAGGATAGAGACAACTGTATGCTATTTTTATTATTGAGCTTGCAAAAAAACCTTGCATAAATAAATTACTATGATTTGGACGTGTACATGTGCATATATATTAATTTTTCCTAAAGTTAATTAAGTATTTTAGGAAAAATTATCATAGTGGCCACCACACTCTGAGGCCACCAAAAATTTTGTTGTGAGAACCCCGGGTTTAGACTACAGGTCTAAAAGAAGAACTGCAAGGACAAGAATTAACCCTTTTGTGGACAGAAGCATTTTTGTGTTCAACCTCAGAGTTATTTTACTATGTTCTTTTCTACTTACTTAAGTCCAGTACAAAACTGAGAACAGCTTTGATTTTTTATTTATATTTTAAGGGTCCACAGAACAGTGGCTTAATCATGATATGAATCCAATTAATAAGGTTTCAACCATGATCAGACAGCTCTATAGTTTGTTTTCTATTGAGAAAAAAAAAAATGGTGGTAAGCAGCTCCAAGTAGTTTTTCTGCTGTTCGTTTTTTTTTTTTTTTTTTTTTTTTTGTGGGGTGGGGGGGGGGGGGTGAGGAGGATGTTTTTCCATATCCAGATGATTTTAATTTCATTTTCTTATATTTTTAATACAAACATAAAAGTTAAATGTATCACCACACAGTTCTTAAATCCTGAAGCCATTTCAGAAGTCTTTATAAGTTTTGCACACAAGTTGGTCAATAGCACTATTTTTGGGGGGAAGGCTAGCAAACTCAATCCTCAAAAAAAGATTGTATGAATTATTAAACCTCACATTCACACACTTTTCTGAGTATCACTTATCTGAAAAATTTACAGGAGGCCCAAATGCTGAATGCTTGGAGAGTTCTGATGGAGTATGACTATTCCTATTCCCACAACAGCTGGCTGACTAGTCCACAGAATGCCACATGTACTGTGTTGATGTAATGAATAAAACAGTGCTGGAACACAGTGTACATGTTTCCAGTATTCTGCAAAATTCTTCTCACAGGCACAATTTATGCCCCAACATTTCTCAGAACCAGCAAAATACATTGGGATATAGTAGAGAAGTGGCTAGGGAAACTCAGCCACCACTGACAAGCCAAAAAACCCTAATCAACCAGAAATGTTAGATGTGCTAGAATGCATCCTCTTTATTTTGGACATTCTACAGCTAAGAGAGGAAATTTTGAAAAATATTGTTAAGTATGATATGCTTTATTACCAAGTCTAGTAGGACAACTACAGAACTTGAAACCTCTGCCTGTAAGCTAGTTCAGTTTTGATGACAGCACACATTTTCCTTAAAATTAGTTATTTGAATATTATATGATTGGTAAGGAGTTTCAAACTAATGTGAGAATCTTTTGACTAGACTAACCTAAAAAGGTCATCTAAACTAATGGTCAGCAATAATCAGCCCCATGTATATGAATAGCTGCATCTATTCCTTTGTATTTAACATGCTTTGAGTCCTGAGTATCTACTAATCAAAGGGATATATTATACTGAATCTATAGTGAGACTTATTGGAGACTGAAGTGCTAAGTGCATGAATCTAAATGCTCAATCCTACACTGATGGATGGGGGATGGTTAGATTCCCTACCGTGTCTCTAGTTTCTATATTAGTCATTTATAGTGCTGTGAACACTACATTTTTAAAACTGCCTTCCAAGTTTCATTTTAGTAAATGTTTTGTACAGCACACAGATAGCTAAGAAGCTAGAACAATGTGTTACTTTGGGTAAATAAAAGTATTTCTTTTAACAGGAGCCAAGTAATTCATACTAGGACTACAAAATAACCTACTGCAATATTTTAACTTACTTGATACAGGAAGCACGACAGGAGGTGGTGGCCGAGGATGTATTTGTGGGCCTGGCATTCTCATATTGTGAGCTGGACCTGGCATTGGAGGCATTAGCATACCAGGAGGAGGAGGAGGGGGGAGTCCTGGGGGTGGTGGTGGAAAAGGAATCATGCTTGGCAATGAAACTTCATCTACTACTAAAGGGTCATTTCCATGATCAAATTGGCAAAGGTCGCCAAGTACACAAAATCCTCGCTCTGCAAAGACAGACAGAATTTCATTACCATTTTTCAAGAACTTCAAAAGTGATGACTATAAGATTTAATCAAGTATCACTATTTCCGTGATTTCTAAAGAACAAATAGATGCATTTAAGCAGTCCAGCATATTCTGATCTAACATTTCACACCATTAAATAAAACTTCAAACTAGAATTCCAGTTGGAATATTAGTTTAGCGTCAAAGAATCTGAACTGTTTCCACAACAGTGTACAAACTTCAACAGCGACATGGGGGATGGGTAGGTAGGGGAGACAGAATCGCCACCTGTTTTATGTCAAACCCTATAATCTTACTGAAGACTGCTACTGGCTGAAGTATTTGCGAAGGCACGCCCGTAGAATTATGAACTTAATACATTCCTGCCAGTGCCAAGAATTGTCAGATTTCAAGTAAACCACTTCCAGCAAGATTAAGTCTTATCCAAGCAAATTGCAGGCTCATATGTATCCTTACATTAAAAAGAATCTACCTACCACTTAATCTTCATTTACTGCTTGCATTTAGTGAAGAATTTAGTAGATATATTTAAAAATAAAATATGTGAGAGGTAAGAAATAAGACACTAGGGAAGAAGTTGGAGATAAAACAGTAGCTTCCTTACCATCATAATCTCGACATCGTCTTTTAGGAGGAGGGTTTCTGCCAAATGAATTGGGAACACTATGATTGTTATAATAATTTGACCAACTCTCTGTTGTGTTCTCAGGATGGTGAGCAGGTGCAATCACGGTAACAGCACTGGGAATAGACTGCGCAGAGGAATACTGTTCAGTAGAATTACTGGATGACAAAGACACTGGGTTATATGAGCTCTCCATGTCATTCCTTTCACTCTTGAATTTTGCTCTCTCTTTGTGTTCCGCTTTAAAAAAAATTAGCAAAATAAACCAGGTAAGTTTTCATGCTTTTGTTAGGTATGGAGAAATGGAATGCATAGATGGTTAGTGGACATTACACAGTAATACAAACTCACGTATTCACCATGCAGAACGTAGAATGTTTATACTGTTTGTGTAAAATTACTTTTCTTAAAATGCTAGAACTGTAGACCCAAGACATCGAAGAAGTTTCCACCTCAGAAACTGATCATTGCTCTCACAAAGCTCACATTCATCCAACCATTTTCCTTTCTTGAAAATGAAAGCAACTTTTCCCTCTAATGTTGAATGAATGACAAACACTCCTTAACATACCCTGAAATACACAACACTTTATTCTGCCAATCGCTTCAGTTCCTGGATTCCCTATACAAGACCAATAGAACACGATGCCATCATTCCATTTAAGTATTAAAAAAACCCATCTCCTAAAATTGAAACAATTTTATAGGAATAAATCAACTTCTGCATAAAAAGATACCAGCATTTTGGAACAATAGTATGTTTTATCAACAGAGAGCACAATACCAGAAGCATACATCCACTGGAATACACTTATGAATAAATTAAAATGGAGTTTAAAAAAAAACCTAATTCCCCTGACTATACTACACTACAGAACAGCGTCTTAATTGGTTTAATTATGTCAGCAGCATATACTTCTCCAAGCCAGTTCCATAGCTAGTGTTCTTAAACAACTCACAGGCATCCAACTTCTGTTTGTTTATACATTTTGCATTAATCACTACAATGAGTCAGATGTTCTTCCAGTGCAACTTTTTGGCTACTCACCAATATTTCTGTTCAGATCCCGGTCTTTGCTTCTACCCCCGCTGCGGCTACGACTTCGGCTTAACCCTCTGCTTTTACTACGACTTTTACTCCTGCCTCTTCGCCAGTCGTATTTGTCTCTATATAAATCATTCCGATCATAGTATCTGTCATAGTCTCTCCATTTGCCATCATCTCTCTTTTTCTCTCTGGTTCTGTAAGTCATGTATGTATAAGCCACATATATTGAGAGAAACAAAGCCACGGAACAAGTTTGGAGTCACAAATGGTAAATGTTCTTCCCTCCTTACTCTACTCAGACAGTGGCACCCACATGTGCCTCTATTGCCATGCTGTCTCACAAGAACGAACAGGTTCCTGGAATGGCCAACATCATCAGCTGCTGTTAATGTTGTGCATAAAAAAAACCCCCAATGTTCTTCTACTCTCTCTCCTTTCTGAAATGTGGGTGAATAGATGGAACACTTAAATATCCCTAAGCACCAGCCCGTGGGACACTTTGCGGTGTTCTCAGAGGAGACTATGTTCTATCAAAGAGCTACTGGAGGTTAATGGCAGAAGGGGAGGGAGGACCGAGTAGGCATTCTGGTAAAATTACTGCCTCAAGAGGTGAAAATCCACAGTTAAAGAGTCTGGCCAGCAAGGAAAGGGAAAGAGATGAACATCTTGTGATTAAACGGCAATACTAACCTTTGTTCATTAGAATCTAAACGGTTTCTCTGTGGGCTAGGATACTTCTTTTTCCTGCCATCTCGTTCTTCCTCAAACGACTCTTGAAATATCTATTTAACAAACACCACATCATTAAACATAAACAGCTTAAAAAAAACCAAAGAAATAAACCTAGATTTAGTTCAAACCACAGCTAGCAGCTGTTTAAGACAACAGGATACCTATGCTAAATATGTATGTAACAAAGCAGCAGGGTTGTAAATCTTCATGTCTTTTTAAAAGCTTTTAGTTTCCCTTTGTCAGTAAAGCTTTCCAAAATTAGAAGACTATTTTTGGGTTAAATTTACATTATACAGGAGGTGTTGAAGTTAAAGAAAAACAGTGTGTCATCCTCTAATTGGTTGCAGGGTTCCTTACTGTAAGCAAATAGGATCTCCTACATACGATTTCCCAGACAACAGGAACTTAAAACTATGCAGCTTTGCAGGCCTTCTTTCATATGTAGTTGCATCATTAATATGAATTCTGGATGTGGTAAATTATTCATATATTTGGATAGTACTGTACAGGTCATACCTCTTACAAAAATTAACAAAAGCCAAAAACAATTTCACTGGTGTTTTTACTCAGCTCCACCATAACTTGGTCTGTTAGAAACAGTACAAGGATCTTTTTCAAAGTTTATTTGTAGCCATTTTGTTCCAAACAGTGCACCACTTCTAAATTATTAATAATTTTGATGGCAACAGCAATGTTCTTCTATAAAAGCTTCAAGATAACTATATTTTAGTTTAAGATTCTTCCTTTGTCTGCATTATTTTAGCTTGTGTCATTCCATTTACAGGAATCCCAAAACATCTCTAGATGTACAGCAAATGACGTTTCACAATGAGTTTAAAAGACATTCTGGTCTAGGACTGGCTATATTATGTCCTGATCCCATGCAACCCCACATAAGAAACTCAAATACCCAATTCTAAACCAAGAGAACAATGGCAGTTTTAAGATCTGTTCTAACATCAACGATCATAGCTAAATACAAGTGTTATGGCATCAAAAGAAGTGATAGACTTATAAGGATGCAGTATGATAAACTTTCACTCAGGATCAAATGGTATTTCAGAATTTGAATTTTGGTATGAAGAGATGGTCCTTAGACACAATGAACGGCAACCTAGAAATAGCTAGACTGAACAGCGTAGATGTAAATCTACACTAAGTTACACTTTTAGCAGAGAAACGTCTCCCTTTCCAAAACCCAAGGTTACATGACTATTCTTTGGAGGCCTGACTGACAGTTCGCAATGTGTGATCATTTACTGCCTCCATGACCTTCGGCTGATTGCTGACATTGCAGACGGGACCACAAAAGTATAGTAAGCTATTTCCAATATCTATATGTAGACTCTCAGACAACAGTGGATATATGAAAAATCCATTTAGAGGCACTTGTCTTAAGCCGTGTTTCCCAACTGTTCACTTATCAAGGAGAGATTTTAGAAGGGAAACTTCTAGTAGTTCTAAGAGTACATGATATACATGCACATGAAGCGGGAGAAGGGGGTCAGAATATCATATATCCCATCTGACCTTATCTAAATATAGCCAGCTCTTTTCTGTAATAACTACATCACTTAAATCAGGCTTGTGAATCTCACTGAACCATGATGACAGTACATCCAGAGAACAGAGAATTATTTCTATTGCATTCTCTATCAAACACTCCAATCAGGATCAGGGCACCACTATGCTAGGTGTTTTACAAACTTGTAGAAAGAGGTTCCCTGTGCTGGGGAATACACAACCTAAAAAGACAACTAAAATAAAAAGAGGTAGTGGAAAGGGGTACAATATACAAATGAAGTGACCAAGGCTGATGATGGGCACACACCTTGGCGCCTACATTTTTAAACATTTTTATTATTGTGGGCAACAATGAATAGGAGTATAAAAAGCAGCTGCTGTGGAAAGAAAGCTGTATTATATCCAGGATAATTCCTTAAAAAAAAAAAAGGCTTGCTAACATGTTTAATTGGTAACAACTTTTCTAAAAAAACCCATTTGTTATGCATTTAATACTGCATACACAATAGCTACACCTAGAGTAGTGGTCTTTTGGAAATCTACATGCATCTTTTGAGGTAGCTAACAAGACCCTTACATCATTCCCCATTCCTTAAATCTGTCCATTGTAGAGTCATTCCTCATTGCCAAGGAGGGCCGAATGAGAGTTCGGAATGCTACTCCCACATTGATCAAAGGGAGGTGTCTGCAAAAGGACACAAAATGCTCCCTTACCCAATGGACAGACCACACCACCTTTACAGTATTCCTGCAAGCTCAGAGATGGTAGCACAGACCATTAGCCACAAAAGAGCCTGTTCAGAGCATGTTTTGTTTTTATAACAACTTCCTACAAAAGCGGAAGGTGGAGGGACTAGTTTGAGAAGCTCACAGCAGCAGGTGGATGGGAAGTTAATATTACCTCCTCTTTGATTTCTTCTTTTTCCTGACCTGCAGGCTTCGGTTCTAGTTTTGCTGGTTCAAGGGAAGGAAGGTAGTTCTTTGTGTACAGACTTTCAAATAGTTTATCTACAAAACCTGAAGTTTCTGAGGAGAAAGATACACACAAAACTTGATTATACATCTTGACTTAAGTCTATTGTCAGGAAGGACTATGCTGATAAGACAATTCCTCAAAATCCAACCACAAAATAGTATTACTTTAAAAAAAAATCCTTATCTTAAATTTGTGTGAATTTTAGTGGTGTTAGGTACTGGAATGACAGCCCTAAAAAATGATGTTTTCTATACAGCTATAGACATAGGTACACAATAGGAAGCAGCCTGGACAACGCCACATAGCCCTGCTAATACATCTCAATTTGTGGTGAAGGGACCACTTTTAGGACTGAATACACCACTATCTCAATTGCTCATTCGATTTTTGTCTCTGTAATAAGATCGCTGACTGCAGCAATTTTTGTGACGTAGACACTCATCCACAGGAAACAAGACAAAATTTCACACTGGATCCCAAAAGGCCATTGAGAAGTACTAAGTTACAGTCTCTATTAAATTGGTCTTCACTTGAACCAGTGGCCTAGAAACGAGAGGTTCCGTATCTCCATTTCCACTTCCTGGACAATGCAGTCCATTCAATATAGGCTTAAAAAAAAAAAAAATGCAAAAATACAACCCACCATTCTACATTTATTAGCAAGTGAAAGTTTAATATTTCAAAATCCCTAAAGTTTTAATTCCATCAACTTGACCTTAGCAATTGAGTCCTAACCTCTGGTTTATTTATTCCTCTTACCAGAGCTTTTATACTGTAACTACTGCATGCATGCATGCAGGCTGTGTGTGATATATTAACTTTTCACATTCTGTGCACAAGGGATAACCCTTATAGAATCATTTGACTTCAACTGCTGAATTCTTTTTGAGATATCTAGTAGGTCTAGCTTGAGAGTCAGTTTTCTTTAACCTAGTTAATTAAAACACTTATAGTAAACAGAGTTCATGCCTGCACTGAGAGTTTTAGGCAATTTTTGGTCTAGATACAGTACAGCTTTCAGGGTGGAAGCAATAGTGTAGACACACTGACATTTTTATCATCAAATCATTGAAAGATGTTCAAAGCAAGTCTAGATGATGACAAAAATAATGGTGTGCTGTCTACGCTGCAGCTTTCACCATTGTTAATGCAGGAGGAGCTGTGCTTGTGCTCAACTTGCTTAAAATTCAAAGCATAGACAAGAGATAAGGGTTTTAATGGCATTTCAATTCTGGCTGCATGAATAGGAAGGGCTCCTCACAAAAATCAGAAATGGAGGAGGGAGATCAAACAGCTCTCCAGTTTTCAATAAAAAGGGGGTTCTTACAAAATGACTTTTTTCTATAAGAAGAGCCCCTTTTTAGTCAAAATTCAAAGGCTGTTTGAATTTCACCTCCTATCACACTCAACCCTAGTTATTTTAGAGACATTTGCAAGTGGGCATTTGTACTTTAAAGGACAATATAAGTCTTAGTATAACTCTGCTGAAGTCAATGGAGTTACACCTGAGATAAATTTGTCCCAGAATATCAAGTCTCTGATCTGACATTAGAAAGATGGCATTGGGTTCACTACCAGCAATGAGGAGGAGGAGGATTTAGTTAGGCACAGGAGTGAAGTAGCACCTTTGAGCCCTGAAGTTTCCATCTATTATAATAAAATGGTTCCATCCTGTTGAGGAGCTGGTGAGAAACAGGCACCCAGGAAATACCTCAAATCCTTGGTGTTGTGAAAGTTCGTCATCTTCATTACTCATGTTTAAAAGCAATCTCATCCCACCATACCCACTAATTTGGCCACTAAGGGTCAGATTTCCAAGTTCTCAGCACCCATATTTGGGGCCAGATTTTCAATTGGAACTGAGCTTCCATTATGGCACTGAAATAAGGGCCAGATTTTCAGAAGTACTCTACACCTGATAGCTCCTGTTGTGAAACTTATGTATGGCCCAGTTTTGTTTTGTAAACCTGGCCACTAGTGTTTAAGGAAATTAAGTGTTAAGCAAAAATTAACAGGCTTTAACTCAATTGAAATTGTTTAAAAATCAGATCTTGGAACCTTTGATCCTTCATTTACCGGCAAAAAATGCTAAATCTCATTATGAATGCAATATACTTGTATATGGGAAGAAAAGAGTAGGCCCCAACATGACAAACTTTATACAATCCTTTCTAAACTTTAACTATGATGTTGCAGAACAACAACCTTCCAACTGTAAACCACTAATCACAATTTAATAATTGCATTTAAATTTTATAAATTATGTTGAATATTAAGCTACGTAGTTACAAAGAAAGCAGAAAAAGTACCTTTCTGCAGAAAGACGTCTAGCTGATCAGCACAGAAAGCCTTCAGCTCTTTCTCTGGTTTGTCTTTCTTGACTAATGCCACAACATAGTTAGCTAAGGCTGAAGGGTCTGCATCACATCTGACGAGGAGAGGGAAAAAAATTCTTAGCAATGTACAAATTGATTTTGTTAAACAATGTTGAAAATCACTAGAAATTACATTCTGGACAATCACAGTAGTTATAGAGGCATCATCAAGACAATCTTCTGGCAATGCATGTTGTTGGACCTTTAGGATAATATCGTGCAATCCAGTAACATCACAGTTGCACCTGGCTCCAGTGTCACAGAGCAGTTTCTGCCATTATTGCACACCAGTGAGCTGTTTCGATTTTATTTTGTGCTCCACTAACAATGTCAGAAAAAGCTTCCATGCCTTGTGCTTATTCTTTGGCTTTTTCACAAGCAAACACCATAATACAATTCTTAGGTCAATCAAGCAGATGCTATAATTTCTGGCCAACTCCCCCTTACCAAAGCACACCCAAAACAACTGTGCCCCACCATTAATGAGAGAAACTTACAGAAAAATGACCTGGAAAATTGTTCCACAGTGGAAATGTTGTATGATGTCTTAACAACCAGAATAGACTAACCAAACACATCTCACCAGGAAGAGATCTGAAAAATGTGTATTACGTACACAGTTTCATCACACAGGAGCACAAGTGAAAAGAATGAAGCCAACATGCAAACCTTCTTTCTTTTCTTCCACAGTACTCTCAAGGTAGAGATTTCACTATCTAAAAGTGCCTTTATTATCACAAACTAATTACATTACACTCACAGCCCAACAGCCTTTATTTGGCTATGTGAAGATCACTAGAAACACATCCTCCCGTTGTACTACAATGCTCTGGTACCACTGGTTAAACTGAAGGTTGCTTTATATCGTACACTGTTCAGCCATCAGAAAACGTTCAAAAATGAGAACCTACTTGCCAATAGTGAAGCATTATACAATGCAACAAATGTAGCAGCTAGGTGAATAGATGCAGAGGACCCCAAAATGCCAGGGGAATGTATTTGTATTTATTCTAAGTTCATTATTTAAAAAAAAAAAAGATTCTAAATAACCTTTGACTGTCAACATTTGCTTGCTTTTGGAATTGTCAATATAAAGCACACTAGACATAGCAAACAGTTTAGAAGCCTCAAACTTGTAACAAATTATTTGTTGAAAAATGCAAAACTTCACAATTAAATATTCAATCACCTCTACACCCTATTAATTTGCTCACTTATTTCCAGTGTTTGATGGTTGCAGGAAAAAACATTTTATGTTTCAAAAGGACGTACAGAAATACAGTAATGAAAAGGGTTAATCCAAAAAAAAAAAAAAAAAAAAAAAAAAAAAAAAAGTAAAAGGTTATAATGTTTGTAAAAGTGTGGTTGATATGTTCCATGCCAGTCCCCATGTACAATTTAATGAAAAGAAAAAGCTTCAGTGGTTGCAAAAAAAGGGAGAGCTTCCATCCCCTCTAAACATGTTTTTTTGTTTTAAACTTTCCCTCTCCCTCTTTAGCATCCCAATTTCTCTCAGGATGACCCACTGGGATATTCTAGCACTTGCTTATTACATAACAGAAACTTGCATAAAGTGCTTATACCCCAGAAAGGATCTGTGCTGCACGTTCACTCCTCATTGATCTCAAATGCACAACCAGCACCACAAAGAAATTCTAACACGGTTTGCCAAGAACCCTGGTCTCCAGCTGAAATTCATTCAGAATATAGCTTTGGTACCAGAAGTCTGAAAGTGCTCAGGTTAGAAGGACGATCAGAATCAATAATGAAGACAGATGATTTAATAGAGATTGTAGACAGTAATATGCTAGATCAGGGGTAAGCAACCTATGGCACGAGTGCCAAAGGCAGCATGCGAGCTGATTTTCAGTGGCACTCACACTGCCCGAGTCCTGGCCACTGGTCTAGGGGACTCTGCATTTTAATTTAATTTTAAAGGAAACTTCTTAAACATTTTAAAAACCTAATTTACTTTACATACAACAATAGTTTAGTTATATATTACAGACTTACAGAAAGAGACCTTCTAAAAACATTAAAATGTATTACATGCACGCGAAACCTTAAATTAGAGTGAATAAATGAAGACTCGGCACACCACTTCTGAAAGGTTGACGACCCCTGTGCTAGATGAACATCTGGAGGCTTTTTTTTTTTTTTTTTTAAATAAAGACATGATACTGTAATTCTCAATTTAAGCTTTTGTATCAAAATTAATGCAAGTGAAAAGTTAAAGTATTCAGAGGAAAAGAACCACACTGTAAGTACAAACATTATACTTTAAATTTTCAAACATCCATTGGTAATAGGAAATGGGGAAAAGTTTCAGCCAGTCTCTATTTCTTTGCTGTTATAGGTTTAGGACAGACCCCTAATATTGTTATAGCAAAGTGGAGAGTAATATCAATGTTTATTTCTTTTAATAATTACATACGAGTTAGTAAAGTCTTTAACAACTCCTCATGTAAATATGTAACAAAACTAGTCTGCAATAACTTTTATAGTGTATCCATATACAGACAATTATTTTACAAAACTGTGCTATTTAACAGATTGTAGCCAGTCTCGTTGTAGGACCTCCCCAAATTTTCAAATGGACAAACACAAATACAGAATATAGTCAGTGATAAAAAGTAGATTACTAATAGCTTATAAATACCACAACTGTGAATTCACATAGGCCTCTATTTTCCTCTGTATAAAAACCAGAAATTCAGATAATTCCATCCCCCCCCCAACAACCCCATCCCACAGCTTTCATTATAGGAAAGCCCTGTTTCTGGCAAACATTTTATGAAGTAAGTGTGCATTTATACATAGACCTCTACCTCAATATAAAGCTACCTGATATAACATGAATTCGGATATAACGCGGTAAAGCAGTGCTCCGGGGGGTCAGGGCTGCGCACTCCGGTGGATCAAAGCAAGTTCAATATAACACGGTTTCACCTATAACACGGTAAGATTTTTTGGCTCCTGTTATATCGAGGTAGAGGTGTATTTTACAAATATTTACCCAGTACATCAGGGACTCTTTTAGAACGACATTTCTTTGTGATTACAGAAAAATGGCACATTATCAAAATCCTTCAGAAGTTTGACTGGGAAGTTTCCTGCAGATCCTCAAGAGTGGATTTTGAGTGTTAACTTTTGCCACCTTTTCAATGTGACTAAAGATTTATTTTATGAACTATTTTATATATATATTGTGTGTTGGGGGGGGGAGGGAGGAATTGAACTCATGTTGCACAGTTGAAGATTAAATGCACACTGAAGCCAAAAACTCCCAAACCCTCAAAATATGGTGCAAGTGCCACATATTCTGTCTGCAAAGCACGGTGCAAGTGTTAACTAATTAATCCTTCACACTTCTGTGAAGTAGGAAAACAAGTATTATTCCCATTTTACAAGAGGACCAGGGAGATTTAAATAACTTCCCCAAGGCCAAAGAGGACATCAGTGGCAGAGCTATGATTAGACCACAGAAGGTCCCTGGACCCCAGTCCTGCACTCAGACCATTTAAAAAGGACAGTCTCTAGGAGACGCTCTGTTTACTGAAAAGTATGAGCCAGCATAGGAGTGTGACAATACAGAAGCTGCCGCATGAACTTGTTAGCTACTAGGCCCTGCCACTAACCCAGTGCATGGACATTCTCGCCTCTGTCCCCTTGGCCTACCCCCACCCCCCAGCCCGCATACCAGGGGCAGAGCCCAGGGCACCTTTCGGACAGGGGGAATATGGACATTGCCTCGCAGGCGCCTGGGGTGCCAGGGAAGTCGCTGGCCGAGCCCAGAAGTTTATTTGCGAGCCCGAGCGGGGGCCAGTGGTGGAGTATCAGTTTTAGAGACAGCCAAGCCGTTTTCAGCGGGCAACACATTTCACCCCCCGAGTTTCCCGCCCCCCATGAACACCCTCACCCCCCCCACGGCAACCCCCATTGTCTCCCGTGCCAGCAACAAGGCAGCCTCCCCCCCCATCGCCACACAGGCCCCTCGCACCCTGGGGCCTCCGGCCCACACACGCCCCCAGCCTTCCCAGTGCCCCCCGCCAGCGCCCACCCACCCCCCGCTGCCCTCCCGGGCCGCCGCCCCCTCCCCTCACTCACATCGGCTCCAGTAACTTGGCCAGCCAGGTCTTGAGGGCGTCCACGTTCTCAATGATCATGGTGCCCCCCGCTGCTCCGCCCAGCGCCTCCGTTACACCCCGGACACCATGGCCCCAGGCCCCCAGCGCCGGCTCGGAACCCGCCTCCCCCAGGGCAGTTACTCGCCAGCAGCCCCCTCCCCCCGCCAGGGCCTAGTACAGGAACTAACCACCCGCACACAACGTAAACTGCTGGTTGCCAGCGGGGGCGGGACCCCGTTCACGGCCACCAATCACATGGCCGGGTATGCGCGAAGCCAGCCAATCGTAGCCGCGCGGAGCTGCTCGGCCCGGGGGTCACTAGGCAGGCAGCAGGTTAGGTCGAACTAGCACGTGAACTCTTGGTGCAACATGGGTAGAGGAGGCGTTCTTAAAGGGCCAGGCACTTCTATTTCCCACTCACCCCCGTCCCAAATGGGTGAGCAACAGCCGTAGTGCCCTCACCCAGCCCTGCCCCCTGGGGCGAGCCCCTCATTCCCAGCCGAGCACCCCGGCCCATTGAGGGACGATCCTCCCCATTCCTCATCCCCTTGCCTATGGGGTGGGCATCCCACCTTCCAGCCAACCCCCCACTGGGGAGCACCCCATGGGGAAAGCATTCCACATTCCTCCCAGCCCCCTCCTCACCCCCATGGAGTGAGAGCTCCCTATGGTCACGGCCAGAGCCCTAGGGACTGAGCACCTTACAATGCATCTTCACACTTGCACTGCAGTCCTCTGCACACTGTTCTACTGTGAATCCTCTGCACAAAATGGCTTTCACGATCTTATTTTTAACAGGCCGCTACTGTCACCAGTCACACACATGGCGTTCAGGGTAGGACCTGCAGGGGGCAGGGGATTGATTCCTCAGCTATTGGCCTCCAGGGGGAATTAAACTTATAAAACCAGCAGGTACACTTGCAGCTAGGGTGCCACTTACAGTTTAAAATACTTCCAGCTTCACTTGCTTCTGTTTTCTCTGGAAGGAATCCCCACAAGTCCATCCTTTTATGAATGACTGTGTTATCTTCAATTAATTAAGGCATAAAACAAAGACTCATACTCTGATGCTATATTTAAGAGGATTTTGTATGACCTGGCTCAGTGATTTCCCAACACCTCCCCTGAATTTCCCCAACCCCAGTTTTGTGAACTAGTTACATGCCAATTTAGTGACTGGAAATTTGAATTGAAATTGAAACATTAATACACACTTTAAAAGCATATACAGTGTATGATAAAATACATGTATCTGAAAAAGTATAATAGATTTGAAAAGTATGAACATAGACTAGCTTCCTTATACAGCTGTTGTTTTTTATGACAATGTCACTGCATTCATTTTGGTGATGTTGGCCAACCTAATAATTTCAAATTATGATTTGTAAGCAAAGTCTAAATGAGCTCTCCCTGACAGCTAGTGATGAGCTGGGGCGGGGGGAAAGGCTTCAATTACATTCACACCTAATCTACCTAGGTATCCAGCAAACAGAGCTGTGTTGCCCAAGTGATAGATTTTGGCTGGGGTTGGGTTACAAATCACTTGAACGTGCGGGGAGGGAGGGAATGAAATGTTGTTTTTCTTATTGTATGAGTAAAGGGCAGTAGAACTGTACTTAGCCTGTGCTGATTGAGGGCATCAAGAGATCGGTGGGGACCTGTCCCTCTCCACTGTTTAAAGACAGAGCTGATTAGGCTTCATAGATAGTCTTTTGTTCTGTTAAGTGACCACTGCAGCTCAAATCACTGATAATCAGGTCTAAGTGCTTAGTCCTGCTGTGGGGACAGTGTTCCTGTGGGTACAGTGTTTTTGTCTAAGAGACAGCCCAGACTGCACTAGCAGCGAGGTTCCCCCACTGAGAACTCAGTTGAAATCACTGAGAGCTGGGTGGAACCTCAAGAGACCAACTCGCAGAGGTCAAAGTGGCAGGTGGCAGCAGAAGGTGACTGCACAGGGCCATTGGCAACAGAGTGGTGGAGTGAACGGTGGCACAACAAACAGCAGTGGCCAGAGCGAACAGTGAGCAGCTGTAGGAAGGAGCAAAGTGCCTTCTTGCCCCCCACCTGGGAGGTGAACTCACGTGAAAGCACCTCTGAACTCTGAGTCTCCACTGACAAAGGACAACACCGGTGAGTGGGGTGCGGTGGAGGGAAAAGTGAGGGGCATGTTAAATAAGCATTTGTTTGTTGGACTATATTTTAGTGACTTTGCTCCAGAATGCTAGATTTGTGACTGGGAATGGAAACTTATATAAATATATTTCCTAGTAGGCCAAGATTTTTAAAATGCATTATTTGCCAAGGTTGTTATCTCACATCGTTGCTATCTTGAGAAGTCCTTATGTTGGGGAGTTTCTGTAATAAACACTTTTATTATTATAATTAATTTTTACATAAGAATGGTCATGCTGGGTCAGACCAATGGTCAATATAGCCCAGTATCCTGTCTTCCGACAGTGGTCAAGGCCAGGTGCTTCAGATGGAATGAACAGAAGAGGTAATCATCAAGTGATCCATCCCCTGTTGCCCATTCCCAGCTTCTGGCAAACAGGCTAGGGATACTCAGAGCATGGTGTTGCATCCCTCCCCATCCTGGCTAATAGCCACTGATGGACCTATTCTCCAGGAATTTATCTAGTTCTTTTTTTGATCCTGTTATAGTTTTGGTCTTCACAGCATCCCCTGGCAAAGAGTTCCATGGGTTGACTTTATATTGTGTGAAGAAGTACTTCCTTTTGTTTTTTTTTAAAACCTGCTGCCTATTAATTTCATTGGGTGACTGCTAGTTCTTGTGTTGGATTAAATAACATTTCCTTATTCACTTTCTTTACACCTGTCAAGATTTTATAGACCTCTATCATATCCCCCCCTTAGTCGTCTCTTTTCTAAGATGAAAATTCCCAGTCATTTTAATCTCTCCTCCTGTTTCATACCCCTAATAATGTTAGTTGCCCATCTCTGTACCTTTTCCAATTCCAATATATCTTTTTTGGGATGGGATGACCAGATCTGCACACAGTATTCAAGGTGTGCACGTACCATGGATTTATATAGAGGCAATATGATATTTTCTGTCTTATTATCTATCCCTTTCTTAATGATTCCCAACATTCTGTTTGCTTTTTTGACTGCCGCTGCACATTGAGTGGATGTTTTCAGAGAACTATCCACAATGACTCCAAGATCTCTTTCTTGAGTGTTAACAGCTAATTCATACTCCATAATTTTGTATGTATAGTTGAGATTGTTTTCCAATGTGCATTACTTTGCATTTATCAACATTGAATTTCATCTGCCATTTTGTTGCCCAGTCACCCAGTTTTGTGAGATCCCTTTGTAAGTCTTCGTAGTCTGCCTGGGACTTAACTATCTTGAATAGTTTTGTATCATCTGCAAATTTTGCCACCTCACTGTTTACCCATTTTTCCAGATCATTTATGAATATGTTGAACAGTAATGGTCCCAGTACCGACCCCTCAGGGATACCACTATTTATCTCTCTCCACTCTGAAAACTGATAATTTATTCCTACCCTTTGTTTCCCATCTTTTAACCAGTTACTGATCCATGAGAGGACTGCCCTCTTATCCCATGATGGCTTACTTTTCAAAAGTCAATTTAAATTAAATACATTTTTTTTTAAAATTTATATATTTTTTTGGAAATCTAGACCTGTTATGTGTTTTGGTGTAACTTGCATTATCCTTATGTTAAATTTGTATTATCCTAACAAAACATTTACTTTATTCATATCTCTTTTATATGTTGCAGGTCAAAGTGAAAATGAAAAGACAAAAAACAATATAACAATTTTTCCACTCAAAGGCCTCAAAAACTAACCAAGGTGAAGAACACATCAAGAACCAAGAATATATCAACATGTCATCTGAAGGTTCAAGTGGTATATCTACATCCAACCAGCCCGAAGCACAAATACAGCTACCTACTGAAGAAAGAGTGTCTCCAAAACCTAAAGGCAGTTCCTGATGTTTGTCGGTCAAAGTGTTCCCATTTATTGAAGTTACAAAAGGTGGCTACTGGTGCACCTCTTGCAAAAAAGCTTACGAAGAAGAAAAGCTTCCCAATGCTATCATTGGTAAAAGTGGAGGAACTTGGTTTGTCAAACTGATCAGCAAAGCCAATGCTGACAAACTACGTGAAAAGGCTGCAAAACACCAGGCCTCTGGAGTGCATCAACATGCAGAAAGCTTTATAAGCCAGTCATTTTCAAAGCCAATTTTAGAAGTACTTCATGAGGCTGTTAAGAATGCTGGAGACACAACACAGTTCATGCGAACAAACATGGCTGTGGCATGCTACTTTCTATTTAAGCAAGAGATACCACACAGTACAAACTGGAGGCCAATGTTAAGTGCATTGTCACTTGTTCATCCTGAAGTGGAACACTGGTTCTGAACAAGACCAGCAAATGCTCACTATCTTTCTGCAAGAAACTCAACTGACTGGCTAGAAGCATGCGGTGCAACAGTGAAAGACTCAACAGTTGAAAAAGTGAAGAACTCTCTCACCATATTCAAAAAATTTGCATACATGGCTGATGAATGCACTGATGCAAATGGGCATCAAGTATTAAGTCATTGTGTACGTTATCTTGATGTCAGGGGTAGGCCAGTAGATGCATTTCTAGATGTTCAAGTTATAGAAGACACATCGGCTGCATCTGTGACAACCCACATCTTAGAAGAGTTAAATCCTTGTCAATTGGACCCCAAACAGATGGCTGCTTGTGCATTTGATGGAGCTGTATGTCACGGACTCGCAGATCGTGCCCACTCCTGGCCCTGTGTGGTCTGTGGGGGGGGTGCCCTTTCAGTGAGACAGCCCTTCTCGGGGGTCCACTCTCTCTCTGGGTTAGGCCCCTCCACCTCCTGGAGCCGCACCTCTCTGAGCCTTAGCACGTCTGTCTCTCTCCGTGGGCCCCCTCAGGGAGTCCACTCGCTCTGGACCCCGGGCCTCCACCCCCCGAAGGGGTTGATGCAACCCTGTTCTCTAGACCGGAGTGACTCTCAGCCAGCGTAAAACGGGAGGGTTTATTGAGCATTGAACACAGCACAG